AGAGTCATTTGTGGACGGAGATAGCTTGGCCACAGAAGTTCAGGCACTGGTAACTTCATGACTGGATTACTGCAATGTACTCTGTGTGGGGTGTTCTACTTGATGCAGAAACGGCATGTAATGCAGAATGCTGCCAAACAAGAATGAGAATGAGTCCACGTGTTACACCCCAGCTCAAAGATTTGCACTGGCTGCTGATGTATTTCCAGGTCAAATTCAAGGTTTAACATTAACAGCTGGGGAGCACAGTTTACAAGCACCATGTATGTTCATTCCATGGTTGCAAGGTTCATTGATATTAGGCAAGCACCTTCAGCGTATTGTTTTCAGAGCCTGCTAAAAACTCTGGGTGGTATTAACCTTACAGGCACTGTCGGCAGAAACCATGCAAAAAACCCAAACCTTCCACTTGTGCGATGGGGATTTTGACCCTCTGCCCTCCTCCAAAATTGGCATGGGGGGTGTGGGGGTTCAGGGAAGCCCAAGTACAGTACACAGGGGGAGAAGATAGGGGGTATTGTTCCCTCTGGCAAGCTGAAATGCTTGAGCAGTTGGAAAGTCCGCCATACCACAATGTTGAGTTCCACCCTCTTGGCTTAAGCAGACCTACCCAAACATGTAATTCTATTACAGTCTGCATGCATTTCATGCTGGGGTTCTGTTCCCAGGCCCCATACATGTCAGCACAGTGCATATAAGAATGTCCCATTCTGTACCGCACTGCCCCCATTCCGCCTTTATCGTGACATTTCTGGTGGCATTTTCATTCCTTTCTGAGTTCGGCACTGTGCACACATGCACAAATGTGTGTCCTTCAGATGCATGTTAATCTCTCATTGCCTTATGTATATTTGGCTTAAAAGTGATATAATTTATATGTTGCTAGATTTCATACCTGTTTCTTTTTAATGTTTTGTTTTACTTGTATTTTTAAAATAAGATTTCTATTTTTTTATTTTAAACTCCTTGAAGCTTTTTGTAGATTAAGCAGTATATAAAAATGTGTCCCTGAAAGTTTTCTACAAGAAATATCAGCCTAGGTTTATGAAAATCAAATCTACAGATAAACAAATGAAGTCAAGATTTAGATGAACTTGTGCTGGAGGAGACTCTTGAGAGTCCCATGGACTGCAAGAAGATCAAACCTATCCATTCTGAAGGAAATCAGCCCTGAGTGCTCACTGGAAGGACAGATCCTGTAGCTGCGTTTCCAATACTTTGGCCACCTCATGAGAAGAGAAGAATGCCTGGAAAAGACCCTGATGTTTGGAAAGATTGAGGGCACAAGAAGAAGGGGACGACAGAGGACGAGATGGTTGGACAGTGTTCTCGAGGCTACCAGCATGAGTTTGACCAAGCTGCGGGAGGTGGTGGAAGACAGGAGTGCCTGGCATGCTCTGGTCCATGGGGTCACGAAGAGTCGGACAGGACTAAATGACTAAACAACAACAATATTTCCTTAATATTTGTATGCAAAAAAATTAAACTATGTCCAATCTATTGCCAAGAGCCATAGCATATGCAATAATGACTCAATCTTTTATGCCTTTGCAACATTTCTATCCAAAGTATTAGCTCACATGAACACAGATGCTATTGTCCAAAGCCTTGAAACATTGTTGAAAGAAGCTGCATTCCAAATGGTTTGCCCATATGTGTTTGGACCTTGAAGAGTCTTCTCCTTGTGCATGGACCTAGACCTTCCTAAAAAATATGGGGGAGATTGCTTCTAATTAACAAAAAAATAACAGCTCTCGTTTCCAATTAAACCTTAATAAAAAGTTGGACTTACCATGCAACATACTCTATATTGGTGTGCAGGTTCAATTTGCAATAAATAAATTCCACAATGCAGCAGTATGCAAGACCCTGGAAAAAAAATCCACTCTAAATTCTTATAATGCAATTTATTTAAAAACCTGAAAATTAAAACAATATGTCCTTGTTTCATAAAAAAAAAAGTTGTGTACTCACCAATGAGCTCTAAATCTCTACTTATAATTTTTTAAATAATACTTCGGCTGGTCTAATGTGTGTGTCACCTTGTGGGTAGGCTCCCTAACCTTTCTTCAAATGGGCCATCAATTCACAAGTAAGCTTTCCAGCCTGCTGTTTCATGGAGCAAGACAGTAAGTATACCCATTGTTGGTGGACTGATTCTCAGAAGCTGATAACTGATATAGAAGTCAACTGGAAAGTGTACTCTAGCCTTCTAGTGCTGATGAATTTCAGGGCTAGCCCAACACATTTTGCTACCAGAAGCAAAAGACAAGATGGTCGCCTTTGTATACAAAAGCCTTCAAACTGGCAACAGGCCAATATCCTCCACTACACATGAGGGTAGGAGGTGAGCTTGAGGGTGCAGGGTAGGCTGCATGAAACACACAGCTCTGTCCAGGGCCATAGCTAGGGGTGGTGAGGTGGGCCCCCACCAGGGGCGCAGGCGATGAGGGGCACAAAATCGGCTAAAAATATGTCCATAAATATAAATATTGATTATTGCCTCATAAGGATGTGGGTGGCGCGAGTAGGACTTGCCGATCGCATGGTCGGCGGTTCAAATCCCCGCGGCGGGGTGTGCTCCCGTTGCTCGGTCCCAGCGCCTGCCAACCTAGCAGTTCGAAAGCACCACCAGGTGCAAGTAGATAAATAGGGACTGCTTACTAGCAGGAAGGTAAACGACGTTTCCGTGTGCGGCTCTGGCTTGCCAGAGCAGCTTCATCACGCTGGCCACGTGACCCGGAGGTGTCTGCGGACAGCGCTGGCTCCCGGCCTATAGAGTGAGATGAGCGCACAACCCTAGAGTCTGTCAAGACTGGCCCGTACGGGCAGGGGTACCTTTACCTTTATTGCCTCATAAGAAATGGTTTTTAATAGAGGGTGAATTGAATGGGTAGAAAGGGGTTAGAGGAGAGGCGAAAAGAAGAGCTACTGTATTTTTCGCCCTATAGGGCGCACCTAGTTTTGGTGGTGGGGGAAATAATGAAAAAAATTACCCCCCCCCGGCGCGGGGCTGGGGCGGCGGAAACCTGAGCTTCCCCCGACCCCAGCCCCCAGAACTGGCTGCTATCCTCAAGCCTCGGGAGCCCGGCGGGAACTCCTGCGGGCTCCCAAGGCTTACGGATAGCTTCCTGAAGCCTGGAGAGCGAGAGGGGTCGGTGCGCACCTTCAGCAAAAGCCTGCATTCGCCCCATAGGACGCACACACATTTCCCCTTCAAATTTGGAGGGGGAAAAGTGTGTCCTATAGGGCGAAAAATACGGTAATTTGTCCATGGCTAGGGGGCGCAATCTGGACGGTTCTGCCAGGGGTGCAAGATCACCTAGCTACAGTTCTGGCTCTGTCCTCCAATGCTACCCCACTGCTCCATGCATCCCAAAATGTGAGCAAATTTGTGCTCAGTTTTGAGATCATGAACGAGCGTGCACAGCATGACAATAAACAGCCACCCACCATGAATACCAATGGCATGTAACCAATGATAATAATAATATAAGAATTAATAATACAGGCGGTGACAGGGATAGTCTAACTTCTGTGGCTTAGGCTCTGGTAACCTCTTGGTTGGATTACTGCAATGTGTTATACGTGGGGCTGCCTTTGAAGGCAATTCAGAAACTTCAGCTGGTGCAAAATGCAATGGCCAGACGCTCACCAGAACAAGACGGTTTGAGCATATACCACCAATACTGGCACAACTGCAGTGGCTGCTGATTCAAGTTCCAGTTCATAGTGCAAATCATGACAGTGGCCAATGCCTGGCCAAACAGCAATGAATTCCCCCATAACTTGGGCCCTGATTGACCCGTTGGAACTCAGTTCACTGGCCAGGCAGGTACACCTCCACAGCTGTGATGGCTGGGGGGGGGGGATTCCACATCGGACAGTGACGATGTGGGTCTGGCTGCTGGGAAGGAGGTGGAGTGGGATGGTCTGCAACTGATGCCCACTGGGGAAATGGTGAGCATCCATTATGAAACACAACATTTAGATTTATAGGTGTATAGCTTGTTCTCCTGCTTCCAACTCACAAAAACTTTTAGAGGAAATGGAAAACTACTTTTTAAAAATTTATTTAATCATTTTTTCATACAAACATCAACCGCAAAAGACACATACAGCAAAAACCATAATGACAACACAATTTAACAATTCAGATTTGAATACACTGATATACCTATGACTACACCTTTTTTAACAATATTTTCCCACCTCTCTCTCCTCCCCCTACTTCCCACCACTATCCACCTTATCACTTAAATATTTGTTCCATATTTCTTCATATTTAGCCATTCTTATTTTGCACCAACATGCAATTTGTTCGTATGTAGCTAATCTGTCCATATTATCAATCCATGTGCTCAATGGAATCTTATTGTGGCTCTTCCAATTCATCAAAACAGGGGTTTTTTTGCTTCTAATATAGCACGGTACATCCAATTTTTTTGACCCTTTGAAATCTCCCACATTTCCAGAATGTAATTTAGAATTAGATTCAGTTCTCCTAAATAAGAATTTATTTTTATTACTCTTGCTATAAATATCCTCACCTCGCACCAAAATGATCTTATCATCGGGCAGTTGATCAACATATGTGCTAATTCCCATTTTTACTCCCACATCTCCAGCACTTGTCTGCACTTGTTATTTTCCTTTGGTATAGTTTTGCTGGAGTCCAGTGGGCTCTGAATATTATTTTCTGTTGAATAAGTCTTAGTCTTAGATCCATAGAGGCTATTTCTGTTGATTTTATACTTGACTCTCATATATCATTTGTTATCTGTACCCCTAACTCTTCACTCCATTTTTGTCTATCAAATTCTAAATCATATTTCTTCCTGTTGAGTAGGATTTTATATAGTGCAAGTGTAGAGTTTTCTGATTTTGTTGCAGAGATTAAATCCTGTAGCAGCATGGGTGTTTCCAATGCTGCTATAGTGCCAGTGGAAGACCACTGTTTTAAAGAAAAATCATTGCATAACAAAAGAGAAATCCCACAGCTATTTCTGCATCAGGTCAAGGATTTCCATGTACATCCGCTGATGAGCATCAATGCCCCAAATGAAGTCCCAGTGGTCCCAGTCTGGATACTCCTTATGGTAAACAAGGTGAGGGATTCGAGACCGCAGCTGCGCAGCTTCCTTTGGCCTGCAAACCCAGTCTTGTCCTCCGCTCCACATAGCAATTGGGACTGTGATCTCTTCTATCTTGTAGAAGGGTGGAGTCATCTGTGAAAAGAAGAAAAAATGAGAATAAACTACAGATGCCACTGAAATGTAATCTAAAAGAATTTTAGAATTTCTAAACTCTAATTCAAGGGATTCCCAGCCGTGCCCTCCCAGCAAAGCTCAAGAGCCTTGTTGGAAGTATTACTATACCAGTCAACTACTATTTTTGGTCGAAAAATTTCAGAGGTTGAAGTTGCGAATGGAGATAATTAGAACAAGTGTGTAATGTAGGACACTGGAACCTGGGGCGGAGGGTGGGGGGGTACGGTGGGGGAGGTCTGACCCGGGTGTCACCACTGAGGGGGTGACAAAATGCCAGGCGGCACTCACCACAGGGCCTGCAGTGCACCCAAGCCAAGCATCTCTCCTGGGAGTGATGTGGTGGCTTGGGCGCCCACAGGCTCCGCACTGCCCCAAACGGTCCACCTGCTGCCTCCCTCTCAGCTGTAGGGCAGCTGAGTGGGAGGAGGCTGGCAGACTCCTTGGAGGCCCCGTGGAGCGTCCTACCCTGGATCGCCCTGCTACTGGGCGCAGGGCACGCATGCCACCCCAGGCGCCTGATCGGCTTGCTCTGCCACTGCTGGAACCAGACCTTTCCTAGTCATCCTTATCCAATCCAAGCAAAAATATACATACCTGGTTGTATTTATCTATGTTTTTTGGGCCATAATCGAAGTATTTGAATTCCCCAGTTCTACCAGACTAGAAAATGAAACATAACACCAAAGCTGTGTGAGCCTGTGTGCTTCTGCCAAGACATCAAAGCAGAGATTATCAGGAGAGGAAACAATTTAAGAAGAGTATTTCACAATTATTGCTCTATATCAGAGGTACGGAACCTCAGGCTCAGGACTCAAATGCAGCTTCCTTGTATTTAAACAAAAATCATTATGTTGCAATATTGTAGGTAGAGAACACACCACAGATGTATTTCATTTTCGTAACTGTACCTGGTTCCAGTGGATTAAATTTTTCACAGAAGTATAATCCGGGAATATTGATGTGTACACATCAGTTCGGCTCTGAAAGAAAAGGTGCATTTAAATCTCCTTCCACTTCAGAGGTTTTTGCACCACAAGCTGCAAGAAACAGTGTCTGCAGCTGTGTGCATACCAGGCTTTGAAAGACCATACAAAGACCATCCCCCTAGAACTGCAATTTCCAGCACCCTTAAACTACAGCTCCCAGGTTCTTTGGTGCTTGCTTTGAATGAGCTTTAAAGTTTTGGTGTGTATGGAGACATCGTCTTGTGTGCATGTGTAGCATGGCTTCCTGGGATAAGCTAAGGAAGGATAAGTGCTGTGCTGATCAAAAGCAGCCACGTGCTATTGTATTAGTTGCTCAAGTGTATTGCTGATGGCTCAAGGAAAGCATGTACAGTGGTGCCTCGCAAGACGAAATTAATTCGTTCCGCAAGTCTCTTCGTCTTGCGAGTTTTTCGTCTTGCGATGCACGGTTTCCCATAGGAATGCATTGAAAATCAATTAATGCGTTCCTAGGAAACCGCCTTCAGACCAGGTCCGGGGACAGTCTGTCCCCGGACCTCTTCTGAAGGCTGGGGGGCAAGGGCTTTTCTTCCCACCCCAGCATATTAAAACACCCCGGGACAGCGGAGGACTTCTCCGCTGTCCGGGCGATCTTAAAATGCTGGCGGGCGGCATTTTAAAATCACCCCGGGACAGCGGAGGACTTCTCCGCTGTCCGGGGCAATTTAAAAGCCCCTGGGAAGGCAGGCAGGGGGGACAAAGACTTTGCCCCGCCAGCCTTCAGAAGAGGTCCTGGACCTCTTCTGAAGGCGGGCGGGGGCGAAAGTCTTTGCTCCCCGCCTTCAAAAGCCCTCCGGGACAGGCAGGCAGGGGAGCAAAGACTTCGCCCCCGCCCGCCTTCAGAAGGTCTTCCTCCCCCGCCCGGCCTCGGAGCACCGTTCCGAGCCGGGCGGCGGCGGAGGTCTTCCCTCCCCCGCCCGGCTCGGAGCACCGTCCGAGCCGGGCGGCGGCGGGAGGTGTTCCCTCCCCGCCCGGCTCGGAGCACCGCCCGAGCCGGGCAGAGGCGGGAGGTCTTCCTCCCCACCGCCCGGCTCGGAGCACCGCTCCGAAGCCGGGCAGAGGCGGAGGTCTTCCCTCCCCCCGCCCGGCTCGGAGCACCGTCCCGAGCCGGGCGGCGGCGGCAGGTGTTCCCTCCCCGCCCGGCTCGGAGGAGCCTTCCGAGCCCGGCGGCGGCGGGAGGAGGTGTCCCCGCCCCGCCGCCGGGCTTCGGAGGAGGTCCGAGGACAGTGGGGAAGACGCGCTGCGCTTCCCCGCTGTCCCTGAGATTTCCCTATGGGCTGTCGTCTTGCGAAGCAAGCCCATAGGGAAATTCGTTTTGCGAAGCGCCTCCAAAACGGAAAACCCTTTCGTCTAGCGGGTTTTCCGTCTTGCGAGGCGTTCGTCTTGCGGGGTACCACTGTATAGATAGGTAACTGGCACCCCTTTAAGAAGTCATAAGTCAGTCCTTCTTAACTTGGAGTTCACAGTGATTCAGAGGCCAGTGACACATCCAACCTTTGACTTTGCAGGAGCCACGTCAGACAAACTCTTGAAAGTGGTCTTATTTTCCAGCAGGTTAAAATCCGTACACCTCAAGCTCGACTTTGTAACTTCTTTACGTTGAAATCAAGCACCCAAAATAATCAATTTTATTATTTGTGCTGGAGAGTTTTCCTGATGCTTTTCCTATTAAGTATTTTTATTGCTTGAATTAAGCCTATTTGAGCAGTGTGAATAGAAAAGTGTATAGTAGGAGGGATATTTATCAAGCACACATAAATACCACATTTAAATTTTTCTCGTTGAATCCACCGATAAGTAAAAGAGCTTGTTTGCAGATTACATCAACTGGTCGGCAGCTGCACTTTTGAGCCAAAAGTTCTTTGAGTTTGGGACTCAGCAGGCAGAATTCTTTCGTGCCAAATATAATCTGTAAAAATCCAGAGATTCTTTACATGGTAAACCAGTATATTTCCTAATACAGCAACAGATGTGTTCTGATCCATACAAGAATATTGTTCATATTATAATTTTAACCAGGATTACAGATTTTGCTTTCCTGACTTGATCAAATGCATTATTTACATAATTACTAATTTTATTTACTTAATTCCTGCATTGCAGGGGTTGGGTTGGTGACACTCAGGGTCCCTTCTTAACTATGATTCTGCTATATTTATAGGCCAGCTTTCAGTTGTGAAGGCTTCCAAAGCAACTCACAACAAATAACCGATGCTTTGATGATGACTCAACTCATTCTATGTATTCCCCTGCGTGTGGGTGGGTAAGAAAGTGAAATCTGAGCTAGCTCCCTCTTCTGGCAGGTTCAGTGTGGACAATGAAGGGTTTAGAGCTAGGCTACACGGCCCGAGGCATCTTAATGCTGAAGAGTTATTTAGCCAATCATCCTCTCACAGCCAGTTGGCTCAAAGGAATGTGGGAGGGGAACTACTCTTCGGCCCTGCTGGCAACATTACATCTAAGCTAGGATGAGATGAGGCAGTCAGATATGTCATTGGCATACTTTAAGATAAGCAGGTAAGAACGAGATATCAGCCAATTGACTGATAAGGTCCTTGGAGTCAGGATGGAAGGTAGTTGCCCATGTTCAACATTGGAACAGTCTCCCTCAGGAGGTTGTGGACTCTCCTGCATTGCAGTGGGTTGGACTAGATGACCACTGAAAGTCCCTTCCAACTCTATGATTGTATGTTGCTATGTAAGCTAGACAGTGGGAGATGTGTCCTCTTAGCTCTTTTAGTCACAAAACTACTCACATTGAAAACAACAAACAGGAATACCAGGTTCCACCCAACACTGATAGTGCCCAGCCCATGCGCATGATGTCACATATCGCCCCCACCGTGGGAGGGCATGACAGAGCGACCCACCGCAGCATGCAACACATTGGGTTGCCTGGCAGGGCACCCACAGAGAACATTTTGTGGGTGCACCCTTGGCACCCGATGCTCCAGAGATGGCATCTTTGACAAAAAGTAAATGAATTTAGTTTTATTTCCCCTCACAAAAGCTAGCCTTGCTTGTTTATTTTTATTTTCCTATAAAACTTGGATAAGAACGTAACACTTGACATTACTGATCTTGTAAACCCTACATGATAATAAGAAAATGACCCTTTTACACATACCTTGAACAATGTGTTGGGCATACGCAGCACTCGTATAATGGGACTTATACTGAAGTGGAACGTGTATGCAGGCCCCATGGCAAAAAACATCTTTATTTTTTCAGACATTTGAGGGATTACAGAAAATGCAACAAAAGCTGGGAGGAAAAGATGAGGAATTCCATTTAGCATTCTTTTAATGGAGAGGGGAGGGTGTACAAAGCAAATCGGTATTTACAGTCAAAAACTTGTAATCAAATCAGTAATATAAATTGTCAACCTGTGTGTATATAGAATTAGATTGGGCAGTTTTCTAGAATCTAGATGCCTAGTACTGTTGATTGGAGTGTACCTACCTGTTATGCAGATGAAAGGAAAGAAGGTAAATGGCAAAACTGGAAATATTGCTAAGCTCCTACAGCCTGTACAAACCACCTTTATGGCTGGACCTCTTCACAGCAAGTCATTTTGAGTCTCAGAGTACAAGTAGGTTAAACAATGCAATAGGTGTGTGTTGTGCAACAGTGAATGTGATGACAGAGCCAATATTTGCATTCTCCAAGCAGCCAGGAGGAAGTTCAGCACTCAGCCTTTTCAGCTAATCTGATTCTTGGATAAAACACCCCTGACATGTGTTCCCCTGCATTTCTGCTGCCCCTGAGTGGGCGGGGGGGGGGCAAAGAATACAGTCACAGACTACACAGGTCTTTTTCACAACTAAATGCCAACCTTTATGTTTGACATACCTACGGTGGATCCCTGAGCATGGCCACCACAGTAGATTTTATCCCATCCGGTTTTCTGCAGAATAAAGTCTGTCATGGCAGGAAGGTCATAGATGCCCATTTCATGAAAACTGCAAATCAGGAGACATCCATAATAATTAAGTGTGTGTGCTATGCTCTGCTCACATGCACTTGCTACTTTAGTGAAGAGAAGGTAAAAGATTAAATGATCTTCCGATAAACATGTAGAAAGAGAATATTTTCCAGGAACATTTGGTTTCAGGCTGAGTTTATGGTTACAATCCTGGAGTAAGTCTGCCAGGAGGTAAGTATACATTTATACCATCACTGACCTCATCACATGTCTAGTGACATCATTAACAGTGTGAAAGTTTTCAGAGGGGCATTCCCTCCAAAAAAATGTCAAGCTCTTTTGCTCAGCCGAATTCTGAATCAAGTCAAGAGTAGTTCACCCATCACTACTTCTGAGTAAATATGCTTAGGATCAAACTATTCAGGACCAGGAGTCTTTCTTCAATTTCACCTGTGGGAGATGCAACTTGGATTGAGACAGTGCCATGATGGAGCTGGGGTTCTTCTGACCTTTGACGCAATATTCATTAACCCACCCTCAAAACTGTGACCAAAACTGTGCGCATAATTTTTCAGGGAAGGGCCAAGAAATCAAGCACCTGCAATGTCCCAGGATCAATCCTGCCACCCTCAATTATTTCTGGGATACTTTCTCTAAAATTCTGGAGATGTATTTCCAGTCAGTGTAGATGCACTGAGCTGAGTTTTCTTTCATTTCCAGAGTGTGTTCAATGCTGGAATTTTACGTATGTCCTTGTGAACTATTGAAAAATATTTTGCACATATATAAAATTATTAAACTTTATCTCATATTGGTTACACTTACAAACCATCAAGTATACCTTGTTGAGTTATTTCACGCAGGGCAGATCTTCAAAGGAAGGAGGAAAACACAACAGTCCACTGAGTGCTGAATTCCAGTCTTTTCTGAACTTACCTGAAATCCCAAAATGCTTCTTCTTCAATGGTAAGGTTTTGGTGTCTTCTTGACCAAGAGTTTCCTCTGTTGTTTCCAATCCAGACATCATATCCGGCATCTGCTAGTATGAAACCCAGGCTCTGATGAGGCGGATTTGCTATCCAGTCGCTGCCTTCCAAGTCCAAACCATGAATCAGCAATATAGTGGCCTTTAAGCCTGGAAAATGAAAAAGCTCCAGAAGTTTAAACCTCTATAATGCCACTCATAATGCTCATACTAAGAGTGCAGGGTACAGTGGCTAAAATGTTTTGTATGGAAATGAGGAGGCTAGTTTCAAAGAGTGCTAGGTTTTCTTTTCATGGAATGGAAGACAACTGGCACTGTGTATGACAGCGGGGGGGGGGGGTATATGTGCATTATCCACCCTAAAATTATTGGATCCAAATCAGAGTGCCCTCAGCAGCATTCCTCCATCTCATAAATAGTTTTAGCAGCTTTACAGACGAGGAAATTACAGCAGATATAGTTTTAGTCACATCTGCATTACATGGTTGTTTCATTTGGCATTGCGCATCAAACACAATTCATAGTTTCATGACCTTTATCAGCATTCTAGCCAATCGCTCACAGGAGGGCATCCTAACTGGTTGTCTGTCAGTCTGTCCTACACTGTTGGTCCTCTGGGCTGCCTGTTTAAGACAGTGCCAAGCTCACTGTCAGGAGGGAGCCAGAGGGAACCAGCAATTAATTGCCAGGAGTGACGTTAATGCTTTATTAGAAGAAACAAGATCAGTTCAGGAGTGCCAGGTCTAATAAGCACAGCAGCTCTTTTCAGTAGGCCTTGCCCTGATGAGGCAGTTGTAGAGACTGAAGGTCTGTGCCAGTAACAGTGTTGTTGCACTGTACATTGGTGGTGCTTTATCCTTATTGGCACAAACTGTGCTCTTTTAGGAGAAAAGAAGAAGGCTAGTGTGCAAAGAGGCAGCCTTTATTTCCTCTATTACAATCGACTTTCATCCTCAAGTTTACCTCCTGGAATTCTGTTCAGGCTCAGGAAGTAGCCATCCTTTGTAATAACTTCGTATTCTTCAGAAGGATATCCCCAGTACCGGATTTTTTCACTCTGCAGGGAATAGAAAAACCCTAACGTTGGTGTGACAAAATGAATTTTGTCCTGACTTTACTATGAGTCGAGTTTGGTCTGTTGAATTGTTCATGGGAACAAATACAGTGGAACTTTGGTTCTCGAACTTAAACTGTTCCAGAAGTTCATTCGACTCCCAAAACCGTTCAAAAAACAAGGTGCAGCTTCCGATTGGCTGCAAGAGCTTCCTGCACTCGAACGTTTGGCTTCTGAAAAACGTTCGAAAACCAGAGCACTTATTTCCGGGTTTTTGGTGTTCGGGGGCTGATTTGTTCACCAACTAAGCCGTTCAAGAACCAAGGTTCCACTGTATGTATTTTTCCACTCTTTGTATTCACGTATGGGGGGGGGGGCATGAGAAGGCATTTTCCAAGTGAATGAAGACCATCAAATGAGGAGCAGCAAACAGAGAGTCATAGCTCAAAAAATAAAGATCTTGTTTTAATATGAAGTACAGTGTACCGTATTTTTTTGCTCTATAAGTCTCACTTTTCCCCTCCTTAAAAAGTAAGGGGAAATGTGTGTCGCAGCTATCCCAGAAGCCAGAACAGCAAGAGGGATTGCTGCTTTCACTGCGCAGCGATCCCTCTTGCTGTTCTGGCTTCTGAGATTCAGAATATTTTTTTTCTTGTTTTCCTCCTCCAAAAACTAGGTGCGTCTTGTGGTCTGGTGTGTCTTATAGAGTGAAATTGCTCTGAAACGTTTTAAAGTATAGAGCAATATATATCTAATGAAACAAATCATGTGCTTCCAGAGAGGTTGTCATGTCAGAAGGGGCTAGCAGGGGCACTTGGATAAACATGTTTAGAAGCTTCTTCACAAAAGTGACCCCTGATAACACAGAGTGCCAAATAGCGAGGAAGGTGGTAAGCCAGTTGTAAGTAAGTTCCACTCAGACATGCTCAACACAGAGAAGCCAGAAGTGGAGAGCTGTGGCACCATCTTCAGGCACACATTTTGCACTTGCATGTTCAGGCTAAACACTTGAAGAGGCCTTCTGTCATAGCATATTCTGAATATTTGGATGTAGAAAGTCTTTGGGAGGACTCAGCCATTTCTAAGAAACAAAGAGCTATGAGAATGATTGCATAAGCACTGTTTGTTAGAGTTGCGGAAAGTGGAATCCCTGATATGGACCTTGTGCAGAGTATAAATGAATTTGCTTTCCAACACAAAAAATGAGTTCCAAAGCTTTACTGGAAACAATCTTGAAATAGTTCCAAATAAACATTACAAAATGCAAAGCAGCACATTGCTGTTAAACCAGCAATCAATGTGGTTCTGCCTTCTTTTGGGTCTTTAATACAGTTCAATAAACTTTCCTGTCTCTGGTCCCATATATAGATGCTAAGCAATTTGCATGTTCATCAGCGTGGACACTGAGTTCTCAAGTTTGACCTTCCTCCTATGAAAGATCTCTTGGTTTTGAGGATGAGTCATCAGTTAGCCTTAACACTCTCCTAGTCGCATTTACCTAGAGACAAACCTCTCTTGCCTCTCTAATTTGAAGAGAGAGAAAACTTATGTAAAAGTTTTCATTTACAGACTTCAGTGTGTATAAACTTTATATTTTATGCATATTGGACATTGCTGACAGTTCTTCAGTACTCTTGAACAAAAGTAACATGGCCCAAGTTTCCCTGTTTGGTCAGGGAAGGCACCAGAATAGCTTCACCATGAAGTGGGCCCTTCAGATCCTATTAAATCAAAATATGTGAATTTTCCCCGATGAAAGAGAGAGAAAGAATCAGTTTAATTGGGGGCTCACATAGTCAGGCACTTATGTAGATGGCCCAGTTCACTGTGACAGCCACCTGCAAGGTAGGAAGATTTGCTGCCACTTTCCACCACTGAATCCCTACCAAACGTGTGAACCAGGGCAAACCATCACTAACACTACTATAATGCTGCTTTGTCTCAAGAGCTTAACTTACAATATTCATATATACTTCAGGATTCACTTCTGTTTTGCTCTTGGATTCTACTGGATTCACAGTGCCTTGTACAACCATCATGATAACCAGCAGCCACATCCTGGAACACCTGAAAAACAGAATATTTTAGAGAAACCTTTTTTCTTTTAGTGATGAAATGGAGCTACTTTTTAGTTGAAAAGCTGCTGAACACGAGCCAGTCGTGTGACATGGCAGTCTTAGGCTTCATTCACAGATGCAGTTTGCTCAGATCACAAGCAGCTAGGGCTCCACTCTCTTCTGCTCAGAGAGCATGCATTTCTTTTTGCATTTTAATTGCCCCCAAGGCAATTAAACAGCTAGGTTGGCGGGAGAAGGGATTGAACAATGGGAGCTCACCCTGTCACGGGGATTCGAACTGCCGACCTTCTGATCAGCAAGCCCTTTATAAAATTACCAATCTATAAAGAAAGGGTTTCAGTCCATGAATGCTTATGCTTACGCATGTTAGAATTAAGGTTCAGCAGGTGACTGACATTTCCACTGGATTCAAAATAACAGTAATGTCCTTTATTCCAAGTAACTGAAGAATGAAAACTTTACAGAAAAGCAGAGAAATGGGAACTGCCTAAACTCACATTTTTCAGAGAAGTGAATATTAAGGTGCATTCTGCTTTGTTAGAGAAGGGAATTTTCTTCAGGGCTTAATTAAATATAACACATTATTGGTAATAATCACATGTAACACAACTATTGCCCAAATCTTCATTTACAAAGCCATATTTATTTTTCCCCATTATCTTTATTTCTGTTTTACATGACAGAAAGGGTTTGTGTTTTAAACCAGGCAATACTGCCCCCTACAAATCCTGGAGACAGACAGTCATGCCACGTATCCACAGCAGTGACCAGATGAAAAAATGACCATTAGAGAAGCACAGAGAGAAGAAAAAAACACAGTGCATCTGCTGCAACAGAATCGGACGCCTTCATCTGCCTTACCTGTGATAAAACATGGCTCTCCTGTATCTGTCTTTACAGCCACAGCAGCTGCTTTAACTCTCCAGCAGTTTGACTTCACTCCTGAAAGTGCGCTCTTAAATTGTCTCCCAAGACAGACGGATGCCAAAAACAAATCCAAATCCAAGTACAAATACAAATTATTAAATGTATATACTGACTATAATATTTGGGCTCTGGAGAGCTACAAGAGGAGCAGAAACCTAAAAATCTCCAATGCCTTAAATAAATTCATGGTCCCCATTAAATGGGCTGTGTTGAGGGGAGTCACTGGCCATACGCTGAAAGGTTGTCAGTGCACTTCCCTGTGTTGTGGTGAAATGGGGGGCGGGCTCTCTGCTTAAACATACGTCATTCAGAGCCAGCCCAATCCCCAGATAGACTGGTTAACCCTGATGTGCCCCAGATCCCCGCCCGGGGACTGGGAGGGATAAACGCCCAATGCCTAAGCCAAGGTCTTCCCACATCTAAAAGTTTAATAAAGTTGTGGGCAATTTTAATCCCATAATACATGTCATGTGTCATTATTCCCCCGGATGTCGCCTGGGGTCGGGGGATCTCCACCTGGGCACGCAATGTAATAAAGTGAATAATTATTTTGTTCAACTTGTCAAAAATCAAATTTTGGTATCAACACATGGTGTGAGACAAAATTCACATTCCGAAATTTGGAAAAGTTAGTTCCAGCTCTGTGTGCCACTGATTTGCCATCACTTCACCAATTAATAAGAGAATTGCACATTCCTGAGAACAACAGTGAGGAGAAAACATAGTACCCAAAATTATGACGCAAACTGCATCTCTTCAATGGGATGTAAGGAAAATCTTGCCTAGTACATGACACCAAAAAAACAACAACACTTTATTTTATTTCTATTTTTTTAGTAGAATTTCCCAGGCCAGTAACCAATCTCCTGCCACTTCTCATGTCCAATAGGATTTTCTTTGTTGGTGCCAATTGCCAAAAGGGAAGATTTTGACTGGGAAGGCTTCAAACCCCCTCCCAAGATGTTGTGGTGTCAAATGACAACCCACTTCCTGCTTTCAAAACTTTTAAAACCATGTTACAATTGTTCCTCATGTAATTAATGCCATGTCTAGCTAGGTCCACTGTTGTTCCTAATGGTGGAGACACCATAATCTGAAATCTCTTAATGTTGCTTGGCAACTAATAGAAACATTAGAATAAAGGCAAATATGGGGTGAATGATAGATATTGAATTTCATCCAGAAAACAAATATGTACCCCACAATTTATAAAATAAGATAATGGGCCTGAGCAAAAGTTCACTGTACAAATTCTTGCAGGACTGAATCCAATGATCATATTTGCACTTCACAATTGGACATTCATTCAGATCCTCCAATTGTGGGACTTCATCTATTCCCCCAATACATATTTCTAGAGGATCCTATCATTTTGCAGTGTAACATACAACAACACAGGCATAAGGAATTATTTTAATGATTGCATTTTATTGCTTTTCAGTGTTTTTATGTGGCTGTACATTGCCCTTATATTTTGTGAGAGGCTGGTATAGAAATGCTTTTTAAAGATTACTTAATTTTATTTATAAAATACAAAATTGCATGAGAATTTCCCCATATTCTTTTCTGGAAGCCCAAACAATGTATTTCCAGCTGCTTACTCAGTCTAAAAAAAGTACATGCAAATTTTGTACTCAAAAGTAAGTCCTTCTGGGTTCAATGGGACTTACAGGTGAGTACAGGTTAGCAAGCAAAAAGCTACACTGCTACATACACTTACCTAGAAGCAAGCTCCACTGAACTCAAGGGAGCTTACTTCTATGTAGAGACATGCATAGGATTCCACTGTAAATCTCACAGTGTGAACTGCTTGAATCCTGCAAATTTCATTGGGGCTTAAACATGTATGACATTATATTAAGCATTATTCGTTCATTGAGATTTGACATCTACAGGATTGAGCCTTATGATAATTAATAATCAGTTATATTTTCATTAAGAGTACAATCTGAAAAATGGCAAGAATATATCACCATACTCAAATTAAGAAGATCAGTGTTTTGTTTTGTTTTGTTTTGTTTTGTTTTGTTTTGTTTTGAAAAAATAGCCCTTTGCTTACCTGCCGTTGGTACTCAGATGGAGCTGGGACCTTGAATAAATGTTGCAAAAGATCTAGAATGTAACAAACAATTATACAACAGGTGTGGTGGAATTAAAAATGATGAAATGGAAGCAGCGCTTATTCATTAGATCAGATTTAGATCAGAACAATGGGAGCTAACCCTGTGGTGGGGATTCGAACTGCCGACCTTCTGTATCTGTCTCTACAGCCACAGCAGCTGCTTTAACTCTCCAACAGTTTGACTTCACTCCTGAAAGTGCACTCTTAAATTGTCTCCCAAGACAGACGGATGCCAAAAACAAATCCAAATCCAAGTACAAATACAAATCATTAAAAGTATATACTGACTATAATATTTGAGCTCTGGAGAGCTACAAGAGAAGCAGAAACCTAAAAATCTCCAATGCCTTAAAAAAAATTCATTATCCCAAAAGACAAAATGAGGACTGAAAAAGGCCAATCAACTCCTCCATGCACAGATGTAAAGAAATACTCACATCTAAAGTTCATATAAATAGTTTCCCACGATGTTAATTTGCTTTCATTATTTTGACGTATTCTCATAAAAAAGTCCGGTATAACGAGTTTAATACATAATGCTTGTTTCATCATTCCAGTGCCATAGCTTTCACAACCTGCTATGATAGGATATCTAAATTATTCTTCCATTTCACTAACGTATCCAACCAAGCGACCTCATCTTTGCAAGGAATTCTGCCTTTGAAGAGGCGTTTCTTTTCCCCCTTCCCTTGCATCCCTGGGCCCCCCTGAAATTTGCTCTGGAAAGTAGGGTGGGATCAAGTACAGATTTGGGGGAGCATGGTGGGTGGGAGGAACTAAAGGAAGAGGAAACTCCATTGCACAAGCAGAAGTCTTTGTGTGAACAGGACAACTTTGTTGGCTAATTCTTTTCATTCGAAAGTGTTGTTTCTATGCAGTGGACAGGGTGCATTGCATTTTATGTATTTATTTATTTAAACAAAATTTCTATTGCTTTATTGTACAGTGGTACCTCGGGTTAAGAACTTAATTCGTTCTGGAGGTCTGTTCTTAACCTGAAACTGTTCTTAACCTGAAGCACCACTTTAGCTAATGGGGCCTCCCGCTGCCGCCGCACCGCTGCTGCACGATTTCTGTTCTCATCCTGAAGCAAAGTTCTTGACCTGAGGTACTACTTCCGGGTTATCAGAGTCTGTAACCTGAAGCGTCTGTAACCTGAAGTGTGTGTAACACGAGATACCACTGTATATAGAATGTATGAGTGAACTGCCCTGAGATCTTGTGATGAAGGGGTGGTATATAAATCTAATGAATAATAGTAATAATTTACCAAAAAAAACCATGAAACTAACATTAAAATGAGCAATAAAAGAACAGAGTTAAAAACTGGAAATAAAGAATTAAAAAAAACCATTCTACTCTAAGCTAAAAACTTATAGTAGAGAAAGTTGTCTATGTGGTAAGAATTCACTTCTGCAACACCACAGAACCAAGGAAACTATGTTCAAGTTCAGCATCCAAATTTAGGGACCCAGCATTTATTATAGCTATTTCAGCTGTCCTGTGTTACCATGGCAACCTCGCCTTCAGTGAGGAAAGAGCATCATAAAATCCTCTTCCTGGGTCTCAGATAGCTTCAAGGATTGCTGATTTACACTCTGCTGCAGAGACTGTCTGCAGGCAATGACTGCTCCCCACATTAAATGGGGGGCACCCTTTGTGTGGTCGCTCCCAGCCCCTGGGCCCTATGCGGCACCATTAGCACAGGCTTGACTTCACCTTCTTCCAGGTGGGATACCTGGAGGTCTCCGCCTACATCAGTCACTTTACTTGCCCAATCCCACCTGGTTGCCAAGGTAACCAGGCCAGGTAAGGGAGGGGCTACTGCCCACACAATAGAGGGAGGATCTTACCTGGGAATCGTCAGTTGTCTCCAGAGCTTCTCCCACCCTACCCACCCTCAGTTAAGACTTAACCTTTTCTCCACAGGTATGCGGGCGCTGCTACATCAAGGTCGCTGTTGAAGGGCCAGAAAGGAATTCCCCTGCATGACCCACGCCCTCCTCCTCTTTGCGGTGGCGATACCAGGGTTCCCCATTAAAGGGGTTGTTTGAGGGGAGGCTTTGGCCGTACGCCTAGAGGTTGTCATTGCTCTCCCCTGCAACGGGGGCGAGATCTCTCTGCTTGAACACATGTTCTCCAGAGCCAGCCCATCCCCCCCACACACTGGATAACCCTGATGTTCCCCAGATCCCCAGATGTCCTCTCCTAATTGAAGTTCAGCTTATCTTTCCCTCATCCATCCCACCATTGCATCAAGGCACTAGTCCAGAACCTGATTTGCATCTTCAGATCCAGACTTTGTGAAGAAACAGAGCTGAGCATCATCAGTATACTGATAACATCTTGCCATCAAAGTCCTAATGTACAGTTGAGGGTTGAGGGCCACAGATAATAATCTAGGACCTAGTAGCAGGCACATCTTATGATGATAATTTTCTCACACTGTCGGGCAGAAGGTAGTAATTCCACAGCAACAACACCCTCCCCACAATTCCCCATTGAGGGGGAACCCCACCAAACCCATCTCCCCATCCCACAAGGTCTCACCCTGGCTAAGGGTCACAGGCCTGTCTCTTACAGTGCCTGGCCTACAATTCCATTTCCTGATAGACAGAAGGGTCACCCCTGCCCTGTGCCCCTCCCCCCGATGTTCCAACCCATAATGCAGATCCCTCTTGATGTTGGCCCCTCTCTTAGAGCAAAGCCAGGCCCTAGAACAGTGTTTCCCAACCTTTTTTTGGCCACGCCCCACCTAACCCTCTCTAAACATATGCCTGCCCCCCCAAACATATAATTCTTATTTTTCAAAAAGTAAACTCCTATTCACGTGGAGGAAGCGTAAAAGGCCATTAACTTGGTTTAACTCATTCTCAAATTGCCCCTCTTAAGATCAAATAGCTCCCCTGTGGGGCATGTGCCCCACATTGGGAACCACAGCCCTAGACTTAGGAACCAGCTTTATTCACTCAGACAGCAATCAAAGAATACCACACACACGAACTACCAATAAACCTTCTAAACCAGCAGGCAGGCAGGCAGGCTTGAAGGCATGAATGAACCATGCAAGATTCACAGGCAGGTGCAGGAAGAACACATATTCTTGTTAGCAAAACCAGTCCCTCCTGCTTAGTTTTCCTGCAAGCCTGCTCTCCTTATTACCTACCAACAAAATAATGTCTGAATAAAGGAACAAAAAGAAGCACATGCTCCAATGAGGAGGCTTCTAGACTGCTGCTATTTTGTGGATGGGATTGAATTATATACTGGCAAAGTATTAAACATGGCCTGTATTGGGTCTGAACGTGTCAAATTTCTGTAAATAATTTTACTTCAATCATTATTATTTATTTATTTTAAAGATATTTATTAGGAGTTTACAAGTTACAGAAAAAGAAAAAGAACAATAAAGAATTAAACAAAACAAAACAATACCTTACAATACATCAAAAAAAATATTATTATTATTATTATTTAATAGGTAGTTAACAGCCAATTCAACATTACCTGCTGCTCTGAACTGCAAGGCCCAAGGATGGCCCTTGAGAGTGGTTTGGTGCAGGGATAACCAAAGAAGGATGACAAAAACACCAGAGCGATCAATTCTAATGCTTTATTGTAAGATGGAAGCATAAACTCGAAACACAGCCTGCAGAGCCTCGCCACCTTTACAGACACAGGGCGAACAGCAGCAGCAAGAGGCCCTCACGACTTGTCCATGAAGTGCTATGTTAAGCATTATTTATACACGAGGCAAGCTACATAAGCTGGAATCAATAGCCTAATTAACTCACCCATGGCTTAGAGGCTCCCTTTCAACTCTCATCTATCTCAGATAAGGGAATGACTGACAGACAGACAGACAGGCAGCCAGTAGGAGAACTCTCCCAACTAGCTGAACCAAAACTAAGTCTTCAAAGCAGATAGGCCTATTAACATTCTGGTATCAAATAACAATTAGTCTCGGAGTCATCTTAACTACCAAGATAGCATTTACCAGTCTTGCAGAACAGTCTCACTTTTGGTTCAGCACAGCTGCATTTAAAAAAATAAAAATAAAAAAGTCCAATATGAAGGTATCAGTAATGTATTCAGTCTTCTATAATTATAAAGAATAACAGAAACAAAAGAGATCGTTTATAACTAGCTTTGGCATAAGAATCCTTTGGGGTAGGGAAGGAAATTTTGCGCCCAAATTGGAGAGAATATAGGCTTCCTTTCAGAAGCCTATCCTTTCCTCCCTTCCCCTTCCCCCAGACTATATCCACTATAGATTGAGTTCAGAAGAATTTTTTAAGATGTTGTGGGAAATGTAAAAATAAAAAAAAGTTGTGCAACATGTCATCATTTTGGGGAACTTTGCAGTTCAGATTGAACTTAAAAATGAAAATTGTGCCTGTAATATAAAGTGTATTGGACCAGCAGTCAATTAAGATTTGAACACTCTCCCACCCAGGTGCTTTGTTGTATAAAAATCAATAGGAGTACAACAACACATGACTGGAATTACTCTGAAAACCAGTGGAATAAAAAACTGTCTTCCCCCTCCCTAAAAATCCCAGGTTTCTAATGGGTTTCTCTTCATCATATCAATCACTTCTGAATAAAGGCGTTGAGGTGCATCAAGTCCAAAGAGGAAATTAAAGTGGCTCCAGTCAGGAAAGCACTTGTAGTGAATGAGATTAGAAATTCGAGGTATTAATTTTGCATTGTCCTTTGGGCGAGACAACCAGTCTTGCCCCCCAATCCACACGGCAGTTGGCACAGTCATAGCTTCTATTTTATAAAATGGCGGAGTTTTCTGGAAGGGAACATTGTCAGACTTTAATTAGTGAACTGCCCATGGGACACTCGGTATATAAATGCCAAAAGCAAATAAATAAATGAACATGTTTCAAGTACTGTAAACTTGAATAAAAGGAAGAATGAGAAAAATAAGTTTCAAAGAATTTGGAAACATGCAGCAGATTATATATTCAAATACAGAAAAGCACCACAACTATAGGGGAGGGGCAATGCACTTTGGGCAAATCCCCTTGTTTGGTAAAATCTAAAATGAACAACATTCAAAATTACCAAAGAAATTTAAATGTTTTTCCTCAGGGTAAGTTGTAGAGAATATGAAATGAAGCTAAGACAGTTTGACCAGGGGAAAAATCTATACATTTACCTCATCTTTTGCAATAGTTTTGCTGCAGTGTTGACAATTTGATGAATTAAGAGTAAGGGATTCTGACATGTATGTAGCAAGAATGCCATACAATCAATTTCACATTTCCGTGGGGGTTACATTCTGCGGCACTGCAAAAGCCTGCAAACACCACATTCGCTCCCTCCAAACCTCCTTGGTCAAACTCCTTGGTCAAACAGGGGACACAGAAAGGGCTGAACTCCTCAATGCCTTCTTTGCCTCAGTCTTCTCTGATAAAGAAAGCAATGCCCGACCTGAAGAATTTGGAGCAAATGATTCAGCAGGGGAAACACAGCCCAGAATAACTAAGGAGATAGTACAAGAATACTTGGCTAGTTTAGATGTATTCAAGTCTCCAGGGCCAGATGAACTGCATCCAAGAGTATTAAAAGAACTGGCAGATGTGATCTCAGAACAACTGGCAGTCATCTTTGAGAATTCCTGGAGAACAGGTGAAGTCCCGGCAGACTGGAGGAGGGCAAATGTTGTCCCTATTTTCAAAAAGGGGGAAAGAGAGGACCCAAATAATTACTGCCCAGTCAGTCTGACATCAATACCAGGGAAGATTCTGGAGCAGATCATTAAGCAAACAGTCTGTGAGCACCTAGAAAGGAATGCTGTGATCACCAATAGTCAGCATGGATTTCTGAAAAATAAGTCATGTCAGACTAACCTGATCTCGTTTTTGACAGAATTACAAGCCTGGTAGATGAAGGGAACGCAGTGGATGTAGCCTACCTTGATTTCAGCAAGGCATTTGACAAGGTGCCCCATGATATTCTTGTAAAGAAGCTGGTAAAATGCGGTCTTGACTATGCTACCACTCAGTGGATTTGTAACTGGCTGACTGACCGAACCCAAAGGGTGCTCATCAATGGTTCCTCTTCATCCTGGAGAAGAGTGACTAGTGGGGTGCCACAGGGTTCTGTCTTGGGCCCGGTCTTATTCAACATCTTTATCAACGACTTGGATGATGGACTCAAGGGCATCCTGATCAAATTTGCAGATGACACCAAACTGGGAGGGGTGGCTAACACCCCAGAGGACAGGATCACACTTCAAAACGACCTTGACAGATTAGAGAACTGGGCCAAAACAAACAAGATGAATTTTAACAGGAGAAATGTAAAGTATTGCACTTGGGCAAAAAAATGAGAGGCACAAATACAAGATGGGTGACACCTGGCTTGAGAGCAGTACATGTGAAAAGGATCTAGGAGTCTTGGTTGACCACAAACTTGACATGAGCCAACAGTGTGACGCGGCAGCTAAAAAGCCAATGCAATTCTGGGCTGCATCAATAGGAGTATAGCATCTAGATCAAGGGAAGTAATAGTGCCACTGTATTCTGCTCTGGTCAGACTCACCTGGAGTACTGTGTCCTGTTGTGGCCACCACAGTTCACTAAGGACACTGACAAACTGGAACATGTCCAGAGGAGGTCAACCAAAATGGTCAAAGGCCTGGAAACGATGCCTTATGAGGAACGGCTAAGGGAGCTGGGCATGTTTAGCCTGGAGAAGAGGAGGTTAAGGGGTGATATGATAGCCATGTTCAAATATATAAAAGGATGTCACATAGAGGAGGGAGAAAGGTTGTTTTCTGCTGCTCCAGAGAAGCGGACACGGAGCAATGGATCCAAACTACAAGAAAGAAGATTCCACCTAAACATTAGGAAGAACTTCCTGACAGTAAGAGCTGTTCGACAGTGGAATTTGCTGCCAAGGAGTGTGGTGGAGTCTCCTTCTTTGGAGGTCTTTAAGCAGAGGCTTGACAACCATATGTCAGGAGTGCTCTGATGGTGTTTCCTGCTTGGCAGGGGGTTGGACTCGATGGCTCTTGTGGTCTCCTCCAACTCTATGATTCTATGATTCTAACTCTAACTCCCCACAGGCTTCAAAGATGGGTGCGAGGGCTCCTGGGATTACTAAACTCTGGTTTCGTGCAATTTTCATGCTCTCTCAGGGCCGTTTTTGCCCCTTTCCATGCCATTTCCGGGTTCATAGCAATGCACACGTGTGCATACATACCTTGAGCACACATAAACAGGGAGTTGCCTGTATATTATGCTTTCTTTTTTAGTAATAAATATTAATTATTATTTATACCCCGCCCATATTGAAAGTTCTCCACATGAAATATAATAAAAGCCAAGCTAATCTGAAGAGAAAAGATAAAAAAAAAAGAGAAGGAAGAAAATAAAAAGAAAAGTGAAAGTGAATATAAATCTGTCTATTACAATTGCATCATACCCATTATTCCACTCACCTGGAAGCTTCCCCTTCTTCCCCTAGCCTGCCACCCTGGAAGATCCTCTCTATCCTGCCTCTCATGCAGGGCCCTTCATATCCCATCTATCACCTTCCTGTGTGTATATCTTCATTAATGCAAAATAGGGAACTTAAATATCAACCAAAAATGGAGGAACTCCAGATTCTCTGTCTGCCAATTATATATATGGCAATTATTCAAAATATTCCAAGCAAACACTCCAGGATAACATCTAGCTATATTATAGAGCTGCTAGGTGTTATTTTCTCCATCATCCCAGGCATCTCAAATTCACCTTTTTCCACTCAAGAAGTCCAGCCTGTACAGCCAGAAACCTCCAATGCCATTGTACAGGGATGGGAAAAAACTTGTGCCATGCATTTACCAACACTAATGTAACAACAACAAAGCACATCCTTGCCTGATGGTATTTTTCTTCGTTCTTGCAGCCGTAGTCAAAATATTTCAGTTCCCCTGTTTTTGCTGCCTATAAGGAATAAAATTAAGCAGACATTATATTTATAAAACATTAGGTAGGCTACGTAAGCAGTCAGCAGGCTAATTTGCACATGTCTCTAAGAAGGTGGAGTTTTTAAAAAATGGGTGACAATTGAATTGAACGGACCAGTTCTAATGGCTGGAACTGATTATTTTTTTCTGATTATACCGAAAGTTGCATTAAGCTTGCCTGGTGCAGTTTTTCAAGCTCTGAGAATGATGTCAGCTCTAAAGTACAGAAGACAATAAAAGCTGAAGACCAGTTGAAAGCTTTCAGGTATTTCAATGTGACCTGAATTGTAGAATAACAGTTTGCCATAAATACAGTGGTACCTCTAGTTATGGACTCGATCCATTCCGGGGTGCCATTTGCACCCCGAAAAGTCCGCAACCAGAGCGCCACTTCTGCGCGCGTGGCACAATGGAGTGCTTCTGTGCACGTGCGAGGTACGCAGAACGCTTCTCCACAGGCGAACATGGTGAAACCCAGAAGTATACACTTCTGGGTTTGCCGCGTTTGTATCCTGAAAAAACACAACCGGAGGCTGACGTAACAAGAGGTGTCTTCAGAACCATGGTTGATGTCCTGCTCACAAAATGCAGCTTCTCTGCCTCTTCTTTCTCATTACATCCTAGGAGCTTCTACATTTAGAATAAAAATCACAACCTCAGCTGATCATTATTTTTAAAAGAAGTATGCACTGCTTTAAAGACGTTACCTGACCCCAGTGTACAATATTTTTTACAGAAGTAAAGTCTGGAAAGTGAGCCTGGTACACATCAACTCGGCTCTGAAAAAAACATTTTAGAAAGACAAACTGTTAATGTGGCAGATACAATGAAAAAGGGCCATCAAGTGTGAGAAACAAAAATCAGTGCATACGCTAAGAAGAGGCCTTGAAATCTATCCAAGTCAACCCTTATATTTCTCTTTTTAGAAAAACAACAGAATGAAAAAGTAACACAATCAATAGACCTGTAGTCAAGAGATTAAGAATGGGAAACCACAAGCCAAGGGACCAGAAGTAAAAGAGAAAGAAAATAATTAAAGATACATACATACCACATTTAAGCTGTTCTTATTGAAGCCACCTATAAGGTAAAGGCTTTGGGCGCAAAGGTTTTGTATTAATTGGGAGCTGCAAATCTTAGCAACGAATGCTCTCAGACTTCTACTTAATAAGCGGAATTCTTTCGTGCCAAATATAACCTGTGAAACATTAAAAGAATTGTGAACTTAAATTTATGTCTTTGTTCTCTTGCACTTATATTTCTCATGTCACACTCATGTGCCCAAGTGACAAATCTAAACATATATACAATGAATAAAAATACATATACAATTTACCTGGAAGTAAGCCCCATTGATTCTATGGGACATACTTCTGAGTAGACATGGTTAGAATTGCATTGTTGGATAGCCCAATACATTTTGGCACCTGAGAGGCGAATCACAAAATTCCCACCGCCACCAAAGAAGAAGGAGCGAGTGAAGTTCTATGTCAGGAACAAAGGTAGGAGGAGACCTGCAGTAACTCCTGTTCGTCAAGAAGCTACTGTAGAGGTGGGACTTGGGGGCGGGGCTGCCAAGGAGGTGGCAGATCCAGTCTCTAAGGAGTACACCACAGCTGACATTGCCACTGCAGTGGCGGCGGCAGGTGATGCGTTCCTTGGAGGCCAGATCTGCTGACCCTGTGGATCCTGCCACCTGAGGCAGCGACCTCACCTTATCTCATGAGTGGGCTGGCCCTGATAATAAGTCACAGCAAAGAAACACAGGGGAGATTCAGGTCACACACAAACATACAAATTGAAAGATTATATTGGGGATTATAGGGCTGTGTGGACTAGGCCTTGCTCCAGATGCTGACACACATACAGTGACCACACCCCGCCGTCCGTGTGTCTGGTTGGCATGTGAAGTGCCTTTGTGTGTGTATCAATAGGTCCACACACACACATGGAAGCACCTTAAATAATAACAAAAGGGCTATATATTCTTTTGTAGGGGAGAAGAACTACTTGCCCCCAATACATGAAGTGTTTACCTAAGTGGGCAGTTATTAAACCCCAAATAAAGAGAGAAGATAGATTTTATTTCTATCTAAGGAGGCCAAAGGCTCAGGAAAGGTGAGCGATAGCATAGATAGGTATGCAGAACACAAATGAACACAACATGAAATTAAGTTAATACAAAAGCCAATCAGCGGGGTGAGACATATTCCCGACTTACTGCCATCAGTAATGAGAAGCCATAGCAACATTGACAGCTTAAATAAAGACCTTAAAAAGTTCAATTTATTTCTGTCGCAAGCTTTGGCTAGGCAAACTTATAATAAAGCTCCTGCTCTGAATGCCCTAGAGTGCCTCCTGTGGTACTGAGAACCATTTGAAAGAGCATTTGTTGTTATATTACTATATATAATTATATATAATAATGCAGCCATATACACTTTATCCTCACATGGCTGTCTGCCCTTTCATTTGCAGATCAGGTGTGGCAGGACCTAGCTGCCTCTTTCAAGCAAAATATTCAGCAATGAGTTTTTCAGGGCGTGGCAAGGTAAACCAGCTTTATTCCTGGCTGAAAGATACTGCTGAATGCTTGGTTCCTTAAAGAGACAACACCTGCATTTAGCTCTAGTTGATGCCATTCTACTTTGTTCTAAGACATGAATCCTCATTTCCCACTTTTTGCGTGGTATTTTACAGCCAGCTTGAGCTCCAGTAAGTTTTTAAGAGCTCTGCTTGGTTTTTCCTCCACCCTCAACAAATTAATTCCAATCCCCACCCACAAACATTTGTGTTGGGGCTCCAGGGTTTGGACTGGAGTCCTCAGAGAATAACTCCAGGTGTTTCCTGAGACAAGTGCTGGAGATTTGAAACCACATTATGACTAGTTGGGTCCATGCGCAAGGTGCTATCACAACACTGCTTTTAAGAAAAGAACACAGCTACAGGGAGTTGTTGAGCATCTCACCTGTTGGCCAGGGTGGCAAAAAGAGAAAAGAGAAACATGGAAACCAGCCCTGGTTGATTGTTTCAAAAAGAAGTAATGAGACTAGAAGAGGTGATGAGACAGCCTTAGGAGGGACAAAGAGAAGGAGCTGGGCATTAATTCATTGAGATTAGCTTTGGTGAGTCATTCATTCCCACCAATAAATCTGTTTTCCTAGTCATTTCCCTACCAAAAAAAGGTCAATACTGTAAACTGGTGAGAGGAGTTGTAGTGGAGAGGTAATCTAGAATGAGCAGTCCCCTGTATGTGGCCCCTATGACAAAGTGTGCAACAGATGTTGGACTAAAAGTCATTGGGATTGCAACATGGGTCAATCACTTTTCCCACCAGTCACCGTCCTGATCTTGTTTGGGTCCCCTGTTCTTACTTGCATGTTAACTACTTTCATGCAATTAACATCATTTTTTAATTTTGCTCACTTTCAAAAAGGGTTATTTAATGGCTTCCTGTTTACCTCTCATAAAAACGTTAGAGAAGGACACTTTATAAACAATTTGCTGTTTTAGCAAATTTACCATTTTTGTATTATTAAGCAAACTATACAAGTAGCTTTTCTAAGAAAACTGCATTCTGCAGATTCACATTGTGGGAAACAACTGAATGAATCCATAAAGAGCAAGAACAATGCAACTGATACCTTTATAAGAAAATCAGGAAAAAATAATATCTGGATTACTGGGCCTTTGCTGTTCTGAAATGTGTACGCAGGAGCAAAAACAAAGAATAACTTGATTTTTTCAGCCACCTCTGGCATCATAGAAAAGGCTATGAAACCTGCAAAAAATAATAATTTATTTACAACGATAATTGGGGAAAGCATAGGAAGAAAAGATCATCATTCAGAAAGGCAAAGGTACAGAAGTCAGTCAGTTTTACTAACTGCCCTGACAAGAAAAAAGTTCTTACTTGGGAATTGGACACATAGTTGTGGGCAAATGTGCATACAAACTTGCATCACACAGATATTTGTACCAAGCCATGAAGCATCCCATGTGCTCTCCATTCATACTACAGGGTGTTGCTGGAGATGCACATTAATTATCATTAATTAAGCTCACAAATATTAGCTCTGGGGCTCAGGGTTGAGGTCTTGAACATACTAACAAGCTCATCATCCCAGTGATGGCAAAAAATTGCTAGATTGCAGAGATATCTCTAAGAATTGTATTTAGACTCGGGTATCAACCAGTTTGTGCAACTGGCTCTGTGGGTACCATATCTAAGAGCTGTTAAAAAATTGTTGAAAGAAACTTCTGCAATCACATCAATCACATTGAATCAAAACCTTGTAAGGACAATATTGAAGGAAATTTTGTTACAAAAGAAAAAGATAGCTTTTGGCTTGCCGAAGCCAAATAAGGAGGACAGCCCTTCTCTATATTTGAAACTTACCTAAAGTAGCACCTTGAGAGTGTCCAATATAATAGATCTGCTTTTGGCCATTTTCCTGCAGAATGTAGTCTATCATGGCTGGAAGGTCATAGAGGCTCATTTCATGAAAGCTGAGGAGCAGAAACACAAAGTTGGGCATGTAATGCTGGTACACAAGATGTCTCGTCGTTGATTAAAGCAGCAGCATTTCATATACATGAACAGTGTGAGCTGACCATTCATGGATCTCAAGACACAGAAGTCTCTTATGTTTGTAGTCGTAAACCATGTGTATTTATTTCCTGCAGCTGAAATCTAACATAAACTCCAGAAATAGATTGACAGTTGGGGAGCAGCAACACAACTAACTTCCTGGCAGGTGGGTCACTGTTTCTTACTGGGTGGGGCAGATATGAGTGTGGCTCAAACGCAGTGGTGGAGCCAATCTGGCAGTCCTGTAGTTACCTGTGCACCATGTCACCTCCCCCTCTTCCTCCTGGTAAGTAGCAGCGAGCCACCTGCCAGGTAGCTCACTTAGCTGCTCAGTCCCGCCCAGCAAGCCACTCCTGATAAGCCCCGGTGCTTCATTGCTTGACAGTAATAGACAACTGCATATGCATTTCAAAAGTTTCACCCCCAATTTGTGCGGAGCTACCTGAAATTCCAGAATTCCTGTTGCAAGACTGAAAGGTTCTGGTGCTTTCTCGACCAGGACGTTCCTCTAACATTCCCAAGCCAAACATCATAACCAGCATCTGCCAAGATGAAGCCCAAACTATTACTGGGTATATTGGAGACCCAGGTGCTGCTTTCCATTATTAATCCAGGAATCACCAAGACAGCAGGTCTGGAACCTGAAACACATACAAATAATTAACTTTCGTAAGAAAGACTGCAGCACACTAGGATGGCCATGTGGCCTTCTCTGCAGGACAGCCCATCGAGACCGTATAACACCAGTCCTGAAAGACCTATATTGGCTCTCAGTACATTACCAAGCAAAATTCAAAATGTTGGTGCTGACCTTTAAAGCCCTAAATGGCCTCGGCCCAGTATACCTGAAGGAGCATCTCCACCCCCATTGTCCAGCTCCGAGGGCCTTCTGGCGGTTCCCTCACTGCAAGAAGTGAGATTACAGGGAACCAGGCAGAGTGGCTTCTCAGTAGTGGCACCCTGTGGAATGCCCTCCCATCAGATGTTAAGGAAATAAACAACTATCTGACTTTTAGTAGACACTTAGGGAAGTTTTTAATGTTTGTTCTTTTATTGTGTTTTTCATATTCTATTGGGAGCCACCCAGAGTGGCCAGAGAAACCCAGCTAGATGGGCAGGATATAAATAATATATTATCACTATTATTATTATTATTATTATTATTATTATTATTATTATTGGAAGGGCTGGCAGAGGGCTATCCTGTATTTGAAGGCACCTTCTGTTTGTCCAGTCCAAGGCTAGTTTCAAAGAGAGAGCAAGGACTTTGAAGTTTCCGCATCAACAGTTTGCACCCAGACAGCAGACTGAGCAGGCATACAGGTCACCTGATCACAATCGTCTCCACTGTATATTGTGTTTATATTTAAATAATAGGAATTATATCTAAATTTGCACCTATACTACATAAAGTAGCATAAAGGACATCCTGCTGCACATCCCAAAAAATTCTCATCCCTACATTTTACTCTCAAGAGGTGTCTGTGGGATAATGCAGCACGTGGGCTAGAAAGGGACTCCGACCTCTGCTTTGAAGGGCCTGAAGGTGGGAAAGACTCTGGTTTGGTGTTCTTGGAAAGAAACTTCTAAGAAACAGCCCTGCCCATAAGATTTCTACTTAATTGCTACTCAGATAGTGTTGGAGAATGCGTGGGGCTTGCTATTACATTTTCATTTCTTCTTTCACATTGGAGACCCACCATGTTTGCCTCCTCTGCCATAAGGAATTCTGTTCATGGTTAAATAATAGCCATCAGCTGTCAGGATGTTATCATGGACTTCACTTGGATAGTCCCAGCGACGGATGATTCCATCCTAGATAAAGGAGAAACAACATTTTCCAAAATGAGGTACTTTCAGAAAGGTTGCCTATTCTTCTTGGTCCATTGTTGTTGCGGGATTTAAACTGGTTAAATTAAAACCAGAATTCAAATTTTAGCTCATTTTCACATATACACACTTTCCATTTTGGGCAGAATAGGGGACAAATATGGAATAGTATAAAAATTCATAATATAATGCAATAAGGTTGTGTAAAGGATTGTCTCCTAAGCAGCCTTGAATGCATCCCACTGTGAACTAGTTGGTTTTTTATTGATGCATGTATTGTGTATGCATACAAATTGTCACTTTTCTCAGCAAAATGCACAGCAGTGCTGTCTCCAAGCTTGAAGCAAATTATGTTTCCCCCACCCCAAATCGCTGTGCAGAGCAACAGGAAAAAGCTCCAGATTCAAAAGGCACTGAATTCTGCTTGCAAATGAAGGATTGAACTGCGCTTGCAATGCTTCCTTTGCAGTTTCAAATTTGAGCCTCAGCAACATCAAGCATGGTAAAGGTGGCCAATTCATGCTTCACCCAAATTGGCCTGGCTGGCCAGCCACTAAGGCCTGGTAAACCTAATTAGGTTTGTGGACCAGAGATTTCCCATCACTGTGTTTGGAGAAACAGGGGGAGGGGACACCCTCAGGTTGCAGATTCTTGGGGGACAGTTGGCAGTTGGAGGACAAAGCTGCCAAGCAGATTAAATCCCATTTGCTCTATATTTGGACATGGAATTGTTGACTGGTTCAGGCAGCAAGATGCCCTGAGCTGTACCTGCATCAAGCATTTATTTTTGTACACAGCACCAAGAAAAGTAGTCATTCAAGATACATGCACCTTTCAAATGCACTACCAACCTTGTGTATTTTCTGGTTGAACATTTGCACCCAATACTAAGTACTCTAAGGTGGCAAAATCCTATATGTAGGGAGGATGAAACTGTAAATAGTGTCAAGCAATATCATGCTCGTTTCACATCCAGAGATGTACTTACAGTATTCAAAAATTGTTCTGGATTTGGCTTGTTTAACTCTTGGAATTCTCCTGAAGACACAATTCCTTCAGTCATGTACGCCAACACAATCATCAGCCACATTTTGATTCTCTGTAAAAAGTAAATAAATAAATGGGTCACCCACAAATGGACAACCAACTGGATGCTCCTTCATTTGAAAATCATCAACACAATAGGAATAGGCGCCTGAAGCTGTTCCTGATATTAAACTGAATGGAGAAGGTCTGTTCCTATTAAAATGTGGACCAAACTGAATTGCTCCCCCCATCCCACCATGCAGCAGCTTCACTAAAAATAGTATATCAGCCAACTGCCTTTAGTAATCTTTTATCAGGAAGGGCCTTCCTTGAGGAAGGGCATAGCTCAGTGGTAGACCATCTGCTTTGCATGCAGAAGATACAATCCCTGGCACCTCCAGGTAGGGTTGTTAAGATTACCTGTATGAAAACCTGGAGAGTCACAGCCAGTCCGAGTAAACAAAACTGAGCTAGACTGACCCTGAGTAGTATATAACACAGCATCCCATGCTTCAGGTCTACCTCCCAACATTCTCATCCATCATGCCCCATCTCCATAACAGCAGACAATCTCCCAACTACTCTTCCACATCTTACCTGGTGATAACTCTCCTATTCCTGTTTCAGCAGAGGACAGGTACATTTGCAAATTAGGGCCTGGTTTACACAAAAGGCAGGCAGGGACGCTTCTAAAGGATAGGGCCCTTCATCCCAAAGCAAAGACTTCATTGGCGTTTCCCCTTCATAGTTGACTTGCCAGTAGCAACCCACTGCTAGCAAGGAACCTCAGGATATGACATCACCTGGAAGTAGTTTCCAAACAAATTCTGAACCGTATGTCAACCACAAATGTGAGGCTTCTCACAATTCTTCCAGCAGCCCATCGGTTCCTCTTCCTCGTCACAATGCTGCTAGAGAGCTGGGGGAACAAATCTGCTAAAAGTTCCCTGCCCAGCCCCCAGCTGGTCCTGATAGTCCCTCAGCAGCTGCATCCTTAGAGGGCATTCCTTTGTTGGTATTCATAATAGCACAATCCGAGATCTCGGTGATTAAATAATAGAAGCAAAACCTCCAGACAAGTTTTCAGTTGCGGCTGAGTTAGCTCAGTGTTGGAGCGTCTTCATTCATTGCAGGCAGAAGGTTCCATACTCAATCCCTGACAACTCTAGTCAGGCCTAGGACAGTTCTCTAGCTGAAACCCTGGTGAAGCACTCCTAGTTTTGCAGACAGTACTGAGTTAAATGGACCCGTGGTCTAACTCAATATAAGGCAGTTGCCAAGGTACCTAAAAAGAGGTGGTGCTAGTTTTTGTTTTTAGCCAGCATGTTTGGCCAGCCTGCCAAGGATTAATTGATAACACAGAAATATTGTTAGTGACTGGTTCCTCTGGTCGGATATGTAAAACTCCTTCTGTCAGCAAGGTGGTATACTGTTCTTTGTCAGCATTTGAAGCCTTTGGCAAAAAGCCAATCCTATTTCAGACATCAAATCACACCCAAACTTTTAGAAAACCTGTAAACTCTGGGGTGCATGCTATTTGCTACTTCACACATTGTTATGCTTCCTATGATTGATTTGCAAGCCTTGAGATTCCCACAGTGCATGCTGCAGTAACATGCACAAGAAGCCAAAATCTTCTAGGCTCTATCTGTATGCAGAAAACGTGTTTTCTTACCATGTTCCAGAATCTCAAGACCATTGCTGTATCCAGACCAGCTCCTTCTTAAAATCTTGAAAGGTAATATTACTATGGCTTCATTCAGAACATGCATCCCTCCTGTACTGATGATAAGCTGAGCCCAAATTTTCATAAAGTTGAGGTGCAGCTTTTAATGTCTTCTACAGTGGTACCTCGGGTTACATACGCTTCAGGTTACATACGCTTCAGGTTACAGACTCCGCTAACCCAGAAATAATACCTCGGGTTCAGAACTTTGCTTCAGGATGAGAACAGAAATTATGCGGTGGCAGCACGGCAGCAGCAGGAGGCCCCATTAGCTAAAGTGGTGCTTCAGGTTAAGAACAGTTTCAGGTTAAGAACGGACTTCTGGAATGAATTAAGTACGTAACCAGAGGTTCCACTGTACTTCCATTATGGCTCCCTGCTGCCACCACTGTTCCCTTTTGCTGCTGTCCTAAACTTACGTGCTGCTGATAATTGTAGTCACTTTCATACAAACTCTCTCTCTTATTATTCCACATTATATAACAACAGATTTTCTAATAGATTATGGAATAGATCCAGCAACCCCATTATCCAACTTTAATTTTTAACCTCCCGCACCCTTTATTTCCATCAAAAGCATTCAAAATACACACCATATGTGCTGAAATTCACTCCTTCCACACTTTTTCAGTACAAAGTGGCTATGGCCCTGGGAGCCGGCAGTTGTCTGTAGTTAAAACAAAACAAAAAACCTCATCCAGCCGCTTATGGTATTTTTGCAAGCCAGGAAAGTGACAGAACACTTCCACTCCAGAACTCTGCCAGAGGTAGTTGTAGCGAATATCACAAGTCTACATTCACTTACCAAGTTCTGCAGGATCTCCTAGACACCTGAATGTGCAGGTTCTAATGTTGCTCAGGTGTTAAAGCAAAAGGATATTAAGGAATGCATGATCATAGACTATTACACTTTCAGAACGTACAATTATGCTGTGTACATCCCACCCATAAAGTACCTTGATGTATCTTTTCATTAACTGCTCATTCATTTTAGCTACCTTATCCCCAAAGCCCAATATGATAGAATTGCATACACATAATGTCTCAGCTATATTCCTTCTTTCATAATAAAGAAGTGGCAATTTCATTCTTTGAAAAACAACATGGTGGTTCATTCTTGGATAGGAATGGGGAACCTGTGGCCCTTTGGGTGTTGTTGAACTATAAGTACCATTATCTCTGAACTTGCTGATGGAATCCAACAATTACAGTTGTAATCTAGAAGAAGTTCAGGTTTAGAAACCCGACATTCCTGGTTCTATAGCCTCTGGATCAACTGGTATGCCTTTTGAATTCTCATCTCAGAACAGTGGGGTTGCTGAATTTATCCCATTATGTAGCTAAGCTAAGCTATTAAAAAGCTAAGCTAGTAGAGGATCAATTGTATATAAGCATAACCAGGAAACTGGAGGTGTGAGAGTTCCGTCATTTATTCACTGCACTGTCTGAAATGTACATGTGACTTGCAGGAGGTAGTAGTCAAAATAATACTCTGGAAGTAGGGATAGGAGAGAGATTCAATTCAGTTCACATTGAAAGCGAAATCTATAAAATCCGTACTTTCCAAAACAATGTGGACTGAAATACAGTTATCCTTAGAATTCACTGAATTTTGCAATCCAGTTGTCTAATCAACCAGTGTTTACAAAAATGCATCTATTAGGAAAGTGTGCATAAAAATGAATATATTAATGGAAATAACATATACAAATGCATTATATTGCTTGTAAATGTGCTTACATTAGTCAAAGCTACATGGAAAAGTGTTTATTATGAGAAATTTGCCCTAAAATGCTGGAGAATTTTCACGAAGGATGATTTTAAAAAATCACAAATTGATGCAGGAATGTAGAGAAGTGAATGTAAGATTGGAAACATGGGAAACTGGGAGAACTGATATCAGCTGATCCTTCCATTCCTATTTGGAAGTAATGGAAGCCTGAAGTACCCTCATATCATACAGAATCTGACTAAGCGAGTTCTCAGCCTCTTTCTTAGATGATAATATCATCATGGCAGAAACAATTGCTTGAAAAAGACACATTATATTCTAGGATTATTAGGCTGGATCCAGATTTAGGCATGCTTAGAATAGACGCACTGAAAACAAGGGGGCTTAAATTGGTCACATCTAACTTGATCTCTCCTGCCAACCTAGCAGTTCGAAAGCACGTCAAAGTGCAAGTAGATAAATAGGTACCGCTCCGGCGGGAAGGTAAATGGTGTTTCCGTGTGCTGCCTTGGTTCGCCAGAAGCGGCCACATGACCCGGGAGCTGTACGCTGGCTCCCTCGGCCAATAAAGTGAGATGAGCGCCGCAACCCCAGAGTCAGCCACGACTGGACCTAATGGTCAGGGGTCCCTTTACCTTTTTAACTTGATCTCAGTGAATCTGCTCAAAGCCTGACTAACAGTACAATCCTAGCATCACCTTAGAAGTAATTTCTATTTAATGCAATGTGGTAAGTGGGATTAGGAGTGTAGGCTAAAGCTGGCTCCAACCCATGTTATTATCGCCATTGATAATTTTTGTGTAATTAGTGGATAAAAGCTACTAGATGGTGCTGTTCTTTGTCCATGTCTCAAATAAAGAACCATTGGAAGCTTGAGGATGCATGCAGTACATAACTTTGTCTGGAATAATGCACTAGCTGAGTAGCTGAGCAAACAAATTCAAGCACTGAGATGGCCAGACTATGAGGATTATTTTGTGGGTCAGTAGCAATGGCTTTATTCCATGCATAAAGAGACCAAAGGACACTATAACACTTTTTTCATGGAACTCTGTGGCATGACCTGTTTGGGTGAAGAGGAAGAAAGATTTATAGGGACATTATTTTTAACCAACTCATCAACGTGAAACACTGTTGTTGTTGTTGGGTTTGTTTGTTTGCTTGCTTGTTTGTTTGTTTGTTTGTTTGTTTGTTTTAAAGAAACTTTGGTTTTGTGTTAATCAATTCATTGAAAGGAAATAGAACCATCCAATTCTAATTAACAACATTTAAAGAGACTACATAAGTGTTTTCTTGAGATGATGCGCAGTGCAATTCTATACATGGTTACTCTCAGAACATGTTTATAGGCTTGCAGACCTATTAAGGAGAGTATATTTGGGAAACATACTGAATAAATTGCAGTCTGTGACTTCTTATCCTTATGTGTGATGCATTCATTAATAGTTCGTTCAGGCTTTGTTATTTATATTACTTTTTTTTTATCGTTCTGCAGTTTGAAGAGCCAGGTTCCGTAGCCTGTTTATAGCAGAACTGTGCAATCCAATACTGATTTGAGAAGAATTATGATTTGACAAATTTGGAATTGGGCAGTTTATGAGTTGCGTCAGATTTGTGCAGTTTGCTGTAGCAGATTATTGGTTTTGGAGCTAACTTAACTGTTTTATGTGGACTTGTGTAACTTGAGGGATTGTGCAATTTTCCATACAGTGCGGTACACTCTGATGTGGTTTAAAATTGGAAGCTTTAACTTGATTTGTTTCAAATGAGGCTGTACAATCTTCCATATAGTTGGTGTAATTTCATTTATATGGAGCTAGGACTGTACAACTTTTATTCAATTCAAATTTCCATCACTTTGCTCCCAATCACTTCAAAGAAGTGATGAAACTTAAAAGTTCTCACTGATAGACTGGAGAAAACTTTGTGCAGGTGTATTGTTCCCTTCAAATAAAACGGATTGATTTCCTTTTATTTATATTTAATCTTCCATTCCTTTGATCCTGCATACTGCTGCTATATAAGAGTAAACGAATAACTACAACTCAGCAGCTTACATGACAACACCATATTCTGTTTTTTTTTTTTAATAATGATATTTATTAAAGTTTCAAAAAATACGTGAAAATACAAAATAAAGAAAAAGTATAAAGTTTTAAGATATAACAAAAAAGTAGAAAATAAGGAAAAACATACAAAATAAAACAGTTAAAAGCACAATAATTTTCCATAACCTATCTTCCTTGCTCTTATTTCCCGGACCTCCTCATACCTCCCTTCTTTGTATTCCAGTTCAGTTTGTTGGTTCAGCAAATCCTTACCATTAATCTTTTACCCAATTGTTAACCTTTTTTTTTTCATATCTCTTAAAAGCATTACAGCTAAAAACCTCTTAGTTTCTATCCGACATCCTTCTAAAATTCCTTAATTTTGCAATATTTCTGTAAATAGTCTTTAAATTTCTTCCAGTCTTCTTTCACCGACTCTTCTCCCTGGTCTCGGATTCTGCCAGTCATTTCCGCCAATTCCATGTAGTCAATCACCTTCATCTGCCATTCTTCCAAAGTGGGTAGATCTTGTGTCTTCCAATACTTTGCGATAAGTATTCTTGCTGCTGTTGTAGCATACATGAAAAAGGTTCTGTCCTTCTTTGGCACCAGTTGGCCGACAATGCCCAAAAGAAAGGCCTCTGGTTTCTTCAGAAAGGTATATTTAAATACCTTTTTCAGTTCATTATATATCATTTCCCAGAAAGCCTTGATCTTTGGGCACGTCCACCAAAGGTGAAAGAATGTACCTTCAGTTTCTTTACATTTCCAACATTTATTATCGGGCAAATGATAAATTTTTGCAAGCTTGACTGGGGTCATGTACCACCTGTATATCATTTTCATAATATTCTCTCTTAAGGCATTACATGCCGTAAACCTCATACCTGTGGTCCATAACTGTTCCCAGTCAGCAAACATAATATTATGTCCAACATCTTGTGCCCATTTAATCATAGCAGATTTCACCGTTTCATCCTGAGTATTCCATTTCAACAGCAAGTTATACATTCTTGACAAATTTTTAGTTTTGGGTTCTAACAATTCTGTTTCTAATTTTGACTTTTCCACTTGGAAGCCTATTTTCTTATCCAAATTATATGCCTCCATTATCTGATAGTAATGAAGCCAATCTCTCACTTTATTTTAATTTTTCAAAACTCTGCAATCTCAATTTATCTCCTTCTTGCTCCAAAATTTCCCAATATGTCGGCCATTTGGCCTCCATATTGAGCCTTTTCAGAGCTTTTGCTTCCATTGGTGACAGCCACCTTGGGGTTTTATTTTCCAATAAATCTTTGTATCTTATCCAAACATTAAACAATGCTTTCCTAACAATATGGTTTTTGAATGCTTTGTGTGCTTTGACCTTATCATACCATAAGTATGCATGCCATCCAAATACATTGTTAAAACCTTCTAAATCCAAAATGTCTGTGTTTTCAAGAAGTAGCCATTCTTTCAGCCAGCAAAAAGCTGCTGATTCATAATAAAGTTTAAGGTCTGGCAGGGCAAATCCACCTCTTTCCTTGGCATCAGTTAATATCTTAAATTTTATTCTGGGCTTCTTGCCCTGCCAGACAAATCTAGAAATATCTCTCTGCCACTTCTTGAAACAGTCCATCTTATCTACAATTTGTAATGTCTGAAACAAAAACAACATTCTAGGCAATACATTCATCTTTATCACAGCAATACGGCCCAGCAGCGAGAGTTTCAAATTTGACCAAATTTCTAAATCTTTTTTCACTTCCGTCCAACATTTTTCGTAATTATCTTTAAATAAGTTCCCATTTTTGGCTGTCATATTAATCCCCAAGTATTTCACTTTCTTTACCACATTCAATCCTGTCTCATTCTGAAACCTCTCTCTTTCAATCGGTGTTTTCTCTAAAACCTTAGTTTTTAACTTGTTCAATTTAAAACCTGCCACCTGACCAAATTCCTGAATTAATTCTAAAACTCTTTTAGTACTAGATTCTGGCTCCTGTAACGTCAATACTAGATCATCTGCAAATGCTCTCAGTTTGTACTGTTTAGCTCCGACCTGTATGCCCTTAACCAACCGGTCCTTTCTAATCATGTTTAGCAAAACCTCCAGGACCGATATAAAAAGCAGTGGGGAAATTGGGCACCCCTGTCGTGTCCCTTTTTCTATCTTAAATTCTTCCGTGACCACATTATTTACAATTAATTTAGCCTTTTGTTCAGAGTATATTGCACCTATACCATTTTCAAAGCCTTGGCCTACCCCCATCCCATGCAAGTTCTTCTTCATAAAACTCCAAGAGATATTATCAAAAGCTTTCTCCGCGTCGACAAATATCAATACTGCTTTAGTGTTTATATTCACTTCTAGTTTTTCCAAAATATCAATTATATTCCTCAAATTATCGGACAAGTGTCTTCCCGGAGAAAGCCCGCTTGGTCTTTATGAATCTCTTTCATCAATACTTTTTCAATCTCTTGGCCAAAATGTCTGCAAAAATTTTGTAATCCACATTAAGTAACGATATAGGGCGGTAGTTCTTAAGCTGAGTCTTTTCAGTCTCTGTTTTCGGTATAAGTGTAATATACGCCTCTTTCCACGATTCTGGTGCCCTTTCCCCTCCAATATTTCATTGCAGACTTCCTTCAAAGGTTGCAATAACCACTCTTTCAGAGATCTATAGTATCTGGAAGTCAGCCCATCCGGTCCTGGAGATTTGCCCAGTTGCATATTTTGTATGGCACCTTCTACTTCCTGTTCAGATATTTTATAGTTCAGCATTAATTTACTTTCTTGAGAGATTTTTTGTAGGCCATTTGTCTTCAAAAATTGGTCTATGTCCATTTCCTTCTGTGGCCCTTGTGTGTATAATTGTTTAAAGTACCTCTGGAAGCAATTTCTGATCTCATTTGGATTATGTATACTCTTTCCTTCCACTTCTAGGTTTATAATGGTATTTAATTTTTGTCTTTTTTCATTTGCCAGGCCAACAGTTTTCCACATTTATTAGCTGATTCAAATGTTTTTGTCTCATTTGTTTGATTTTCCATTCTATTTCCTGATTCATCATTTCCATATATTGTACTTGATATAATTTTATTTCTCTCAAAATCTCCTGGGACTTTGGTTTTGCTCTCAATTTCTTCTCACCTTCTTTTATTTTTTCCAAGATTTTGTCTTTCTTTTCATTTTGACTTCTCTTCTTTATTGCATTCTGTTGTATCAAAAACCCTCTCATCACAGCTTTGCTTGCGTCCCAGATTACTCTTTTTCTACATTAGTGTTCATGTTTATTTCAAAATAATCTCTCAAAGTTTTTTGGGCCTTTTTGTAAACTTCTTCATCTCTAAATAAGGTGTCATTCATCCTCCATCTAAAGGATCCGGTTGTTGTTTGTTTCATCTCCATCCCTACAGCATTGTGGTCGGAACAAGTTTTTGGGCAGATTTCTACTTTCTTTATCTTTGGTGCCATTCCTCTAGTTATCCATATTTGGTCAATTCTAGTCCATGTCATCTTGGCTTCAGAAAAGAAGGTTCCTTCTCTTCCCAGGGGTTCTTTACCCTCCAGATGTCCACTAAGTCCATATTGTCTATCATCTCAAAAAATGTTTTCGGTAGTCTACCATCCTTGGTGACTACCTGTCTTTGTGCCTTGTCCATATTTGTAGATACTACTCCATTCATGTCCCCCATCAAAATCAAATTATAATCCAAATGATCCAGTAAGGTCTCATGCAACTTTTTATAGAATTCAGATTTCCCCTCGTTCGGTGCATAAATTCCCACAATGACAACACCATATTCTGAACAGACACATGGCTTCTCCTTGCAGAGAAACCTGTTTCTTGGGCCAGGAGTTCCTCTTGCTCTATGATGTCATTTTGCACCGAGAGCTGCAGGGCGACCTCGTGCCTTGTAATTAAACAGAATATCAGCATATTGGATTATTGTGGGTGTGGCAGAATGGGGAAACTCAAGAAAGCCTTCTTGCACCTTGCCTTGCGCAACTGCTGCACAACAGTGCTGTAGGGTTGGCCAATTGCTTCTTAATAATCTGATAAGTCACTTCTTACCTTCCATCTCAACCCACAGCCAGGAAGAAATCTGGGGGTGCTTATTACAACCTCTAAGATCCTGGGATAACACTCCCTGCATTTCCGAGCCAGATCCCTTGCAGTCTACTCAGAGAGTAAAGCCAGCCCACAGTTCTCTGAATTCTTAGAGCTCATTGGAGCCTGCTAGTCTTTAACAACCCTGATCCTAAGCTCCTGTAGTATCAACCCAAGTGATCTAAGCCTGTGGGAGATTACACAATCTTTGAGTTTGGCAAGCATATACACTCTAGTCCTCCAAATTATATGAATGAATGAATGAAACTTTATTTGCGTCAGCCGTCAGCCATAACAACAAAAGAACATTGCAATATAATTGGGAAACACACTGAACAAATTGCAGTCTGTGACTTCTTCTCCTTATGTGTGATGCATTCATTAATAGAACAAAATAAAAAGTTGATTACAAAAACACAGTTTAGGGTCCTGAGTCAGCAGTCAGATAGTGGATCTTATTCTGATTGTGCAAGCTTTGCTGTCATCTGCTCCTCTTGTTCTGCCAGGAGAAAGGACACTGTGGCAGTGATTGAGCAACCTAGAAATATGAAATTTCATTAAGAAAATAAAGGAAGGGAGAAGGTGGCAAATGGACAAAACAGAATGCTGAAATAAAGGAGACTTGGGGAGACAATAACACACATCCTTTCTTAGATAGCTTAACCCAAGAATGAGAAGAAACTGCCAGGGAAGCCAAGGGCATGAGCTATTTACTTTCTTCTGCTGCCACCTACTGACTTGTCCAGGAAATGAATAGCAATATGTTACTTGTTTCTGGAAAGCTTCTCCCTATAGATAGACACAGGTGGAATCTACACACATATAAAAGCATTCTGAAAATGCTTGTTTTAAAAATACATTGAATTTTCCATAAGTCTCACCATCACCATCTAGTGTCACATGTATATTGCACTTAAAACACACTTAAAATGTTTCATTTGCAGCTGAGTCCACAGGCTCTGCATTGCATCCCTCCTATACTTTCCCCCATTCAGATCAATAGCATTTTTATTCTTTATTTTTTTAAGTGCTTAAGTAGTGCTGGATTTTATAGCCTGCATAGCAGAAATTTCTGCAAATGAACTTATTTCTGTTTTTTTGAAAGAGAGAGAGCAAGAGAGAGAAGAAAAGAAAAGAAAAGAAAAGAAAAGAAAAGAAAAGAAAAGAAAAGAGGTAGAAATGAAGAATGGGAAACCAAACAACGTGTCAGGTCCTGAAACCAAAAGATGGAAGAAACACACAATTTGTGGGCAGTTTTGTATATCTGTAGCCTGACACAGATGGAATGGCATAAAATGATCCATTATCAGCTTGGGAGTTGAGGGACAAAAGATACGTATAATTCAGATAAGCGTTGGAAGAGGGGTCTTTAAACTCCCTTCTGCCCACACCAACCACACACTGAAGGCTCCACAGGGTCAAAGAGCACTCTCCAAGCATCACTCTCTGGAAACAACCATCCAAGTAGGACTGGAAGCAGCACAAAGTGGTGCCACCCATCCCTAAACTCAGACAGCTGCTCCAGAAAGATACCATGGCTGATGGTATCGAAAACTGCTGAGAGGTCAAGGAGAATTAACAAACACACAATTTGGGCAGCTTGAATGCTTACATACTAAGCTGGTGCTTTTGCTCCAGCAGAGTGACTGTCTCCAGTGCAATAAAAAAATAATTATTATTATTACATTTGTTAGTTGCTTTATGTTGCCCAGGGCAACCCAAAGCAACTTCCAACCAAACAACCAAATAATAATAATAATAAATCACATTGATACTGTCATGAGTTTGACAGTGTGGGTTGGGGACTAGGCTTTATGTCATTCTAAGCCTGGATCCAGCAAGTGTGAAAATATAAGCCAGGTTAACTTTCCATGTTGAGGTGTTAGTCTGGCTGCCCACGCTTTCCCTCAGCTGGCTGCTAGCTTCAGAAAGTCAAAAGACAAGAGATGAGAGTGGAGTGATGTGACCTTGAGGTAAAACAGCAAGCTGGAGAGAGAGTCAGAGCAACGCTGAAGAGCAATGTTTGATTTACGTTTGAATCCAAGGCTGCGGCTATGGAGGAAACTGTTAGGAGCTCAGCCTACACTCGAGTAGGACCCTGGCAGAGACACATGCCCAATTGGCATGTTCTCTCCCTCCTGGTTGATCGTTCAGGAGCTTTAAAAGCTTTCTTCAGCCCGAACATCACCGGCACACTTAGGGATCCTCAGAGTCTTCACAGCTTCGCGTGACAGACCTCAGCAACTCAGCATTTTGGCTAATCTACTTTATTTGCATATAAACACACACGGAGCACTGCAACATGGCTCCCTCTCTCTCTAGCATCAGACAGCAAAGGGAAAAAAGAACAAAGGACAATAGTCCCACTTCATGGAACACAGTAACACAAACATCCTGTCTCCATCACATCCCACTCTGTGGAGTCAAAACATACCACGTCATGTGAAAGACAACAATCCCATGACTGCAATCATGGAGCAGGAATTCTAACAGAAACAAGACCCCTTTTGGGTGTGGATGCTGTGAACCCCTCCATTGTTGGCTCAGGTTGTATACAGTGGTATCTTAGTTCTCGAACTTAATCTGTTCTGGGAGTCTGTTCGACTCCCAAAACCGTTAGAAAACCAAGGCGCAGCTTCTGATTGGCTGCAGGAGCTTCCTGCACTCAAAAAGAAGCCGCATCAGACGTTCAACTTCCAAAAAAAAATTGCAAACCAGAACACTTACTTCTGGGTTTGCGGTGTTTGGGAGTCGATTTGTTCGAGAGACAAGCTGCTCGAATACAAAGGTTCCACTATATATGTGTAAATAAACTGCATATCGTGAGGACACCAGAGTCTCTGCTGTGCCACATATCCAAAAACCCTGGAATCTTGCAACGCTTGGAGATTGAGGTGGCGCACAATATTACAATAAAATAGTGGAAAGCTTTTGCTTGGTGCCTAAAGATATATGATGATGGTGCCAGGCAAGCCCCACTGGCGAGAGCATTTCACAAATGGGGAGCCACCACAGAAAAGGCCATTCTCCATGATTTTCAGGTAGAATTCAGCAGGGCAGGAGATATCAGACCCTGAGATCATCTCCTGAGGCCCTTCTTCATGTGCCTCTTCCTTGAGAGGTCTAGAGGGTGGCAACACGAGAACAGGACTTCTCTGCAGTGGCTCCCCATCTGTGGAATGCTCTCCCAGGGAAGTTCGCCTGGTGCCTTCATTATACACCTTTAGGAGCCAGGCAAAAATGTTCCTTTTTAACCAGGCTGTTGATTGATCTGATTTACAACCTATGCTCTTTTAAAATGTGGTTTACAGGGGTATTAGGTTATTGTTTTTATTTTTATTAGTTATTATGTTGTTTTATATCTTGATTTTATTCTGTGAACTGCCCTGAGACCCTTGGGTATAGGGCTGTATATAAATTCAATAAATCATCATCATCATCAGGAATGTCCTGGGTGATGTGTAAATTGGGCAATATATTTATCAAATCCAATTTGACTGATGTGCATTTAAATCTGAGGTGGGGTGAAAATGTACTGGGTACAGTAATACTATGAGAAAGTTTTATAAAGTATTAGTTTATTTCTTTATTTTAAAAAAATCAGACAATCAGGAAAGCAAAGGGACTTTGTTCCTATTCCAAGAGAAACATTTCCTTAGAGGTTCTCTTTTAAATTCTCAATGATTTTATAATACATTCGATCAGCAGCATCAAGACCAAACACAAAATCCAGATGATTCCACTCAGGAATATATTCGTGGTAAAGAAGGTTTTTGATCTTGGGGATTAACATATTGACATCCTCAGGGCCAGAAAGCCAATCTTTTCCAGAACTCCAGACTATTGTTGTTACATTCATATTCCTTATATTGTATTCAGGAGGTTGAACCTTTAAAAAAGATTGAAAGAGAAAATGAGCTCAAATGAAACAGAATAAGATTTTAGCAAAGTTTTGTCCATTTTTTATGTGTAAGGGGAGGGGGAAGAAATGTAAAGAAATATGTCATAAAAGTTATGCACTGTTAAACAAGAAGAACCCTAAATATGGTTTACAAAGGGGATTTTTTTAAAAAATCAATAAGAAGAGTTAACAACAATAATCTAATACTTCTGCAAAGTTAAAATAACAAAAAACAGATTGAGATCCTGTAGCATTTTTTTATTAGCTTGTTTTACTTTAGTTGTTTGGTAAAAGGTACAGAATATTATTATTATTATTATTATTATTATTATTATATTAATTTTAATCACTTCAATGTTTTAATCACTTCATCAGGCAGTGTAAGCCAGCTTACTCTCTTGAACAATCTACTTTCTTTCTTTCGCCTTCTCACCCTTGCCCCACTGTCACCTGTCAGTTGCTTTTTAGAATAAATACAGCATGGCATTCAATGCTTTAAGGGCAGTGGAGATAGTAAGGGCATTTGCAAACTTTCAGTATTTTTATTTTCATTTTGGAACAAAATCTGAAAAAGTTGGAAAAGGCTCTACCTTGCCATAACGAGCTAGGTTGTCAAACAATCCATAATCATAAGCTTGGAGTTTACCACCAAGGATGCTCTGCAGATAGAAGAGAATCTCAAATGTATGCATGTATCAAGAAAAGGAACAATGGGAGAGGGGGAGGTTAATATTTCCGGTGGACCATACCTGCTTCCAATGGATTATATTCTGCACAGATGTTCCAGATGGGACTTGGGCTGCATACACATCTATTCGGCTCTGAAAGATAAAACAGCTTCTTTTGCACAACCCCACCCAGGCATCGAAAAAGTTAAATAAGTGACTCAGAACAACAATATTTATAGGATTAGCTAAACGCGCATGCAGTGATGTACAGAACTGTGGCCTGACAACAGCTGAAATTTTGTGTATGATTGCAGTTTGTTCCCTTCTTGCCTCGACTGCTTAGACCAGTGATGGGGAACCTAGTGGACATTGCTGGACTCCCATCAGCCCCAGACAGCATGTTCAAAGGGAATTGTAGTCCAATATCTGGATGACCGGAGGTCCTTGGTTTAGACAGAACCAGACAGATAATGTGTCTCTGTTTATCCAAGCCAGGCACCATCTACTCAGTTTCATGTTCAGGCTCCTTCCTTGGTCTTTAAGTGGTCTATACTTGAGTGTGGCCATTGCTTTTCATAATACATGCGATTCAGGAGGAGTAGGTGGATGGAACAGATAGTCTTGAGAATGCAGAAGAGCATATATTTAAAAATTCTACTCACCAGGTTTAGGTTCTTCTCATTAAATCCACACAACATGAACAGGAGGTTGCCACAAATGGGGGCCAATAAGTTTCGGCTGCAAAATTCAGCAGCAACCAAAGAACCAAAAAAAGTTTTTGGTAAAAATTCTTTCATTCCAAACATGGCCTGCAAAATTTCAAAGTGACACCTGTGTTAAGGATACGGTATCCTCGTTATTCCAGTTCCGTAGAGTGATAATATGATCTAAAAAGTCCCAAATTATAAGCACTTAAGATAGGCCAGGCACAGACACTGCTCTGCATGGCAAATGTCTCTAGTTTAAGTACTATTGGAATGCGATGAAATGTGGGCCTTAAGAGAGCCCTTCTAATAGACTATATTATCTATTCATTGATTAAAATTTTGGAAAGGCATCTGCACATGGATCCCAGTGCAAATGAAAATACAAACATTTGTACAATATTAAAACAACAACGTTCAGTGAAATGCGGTAAAATCTAAAGTAATTGTACATCATATATGAAGGACAATCCTAAAGTCCTGAAAAGTTAAAGACCAAGAGTGGCAGGAACAAAGTGAGGTGGGGGCAGGACTTAAAGCAGACAGAATGCACCTCAGTGGAGATGCAAATCATCCCCTCCCTGGTCAGCAGATTTGATGGAGTATGAGGAAACAATCCTCCTCCTTCTCGGCTGACCTGCACAGATCAGCTGACCTGCACTGTGTATCCTGTGTGTGCATGGGATAAGTGTGTGAGCAAGAGTGCGAGGTGGCCACACCCACTGCTGTCCACAACTGCTGTTGGCATGGGGCCCCCCAGAGGCTTAGCCATGAGTGAATGTGGTCCTCAAGTCAAAAACATATAGCCAGTGCTGAGTTAAACCAACGGTCTGCCTAGTTTACAAGGCAAAGTTGTCCACTGATGCACTTTTTTCACGGGGCCACTGCAAGGTTTAATAAGGGCCTGGCCAAAGTGCCCTCTGGTGGTGCCTTTTCACAGCCTCCCGGTTGTTTCACCTGAAGCTTACCAAGAGATGGGTGTTGGCAGTGGCAGGCAGCAGAGGAAATGGGCAGCTGCGGTGAAGGCACTGCAGACCTAGCCACCCGATACTACGACTGCCGCCATGCTTCACTTCACAGCGCCAGGCCACAGAGAAAAAAAGAGGCTGACGTCAGCTCCAATGCTTGCCCAACCCACGTCAGGTGTTGATGCCCAACCTGTCAGGCATCACACAGTGCTAAAGGGTAAGGAGTTGCTCTTGTGGTTCTTAGGCCGCAGCAGCACTAAATTGTTTACCACTACAGGGTATTCTGCTCTGGATCTGTATAGTGAAGACTCAGAAGAACGGCATACCTTGATTTGCACTTCATGAAGCAGAGAGAGCTTTGCCAGAGGAGTTTTAGCGTATTTAACTGTGGCAACGGGAGCCAAGGCAATGTACAGCTTGATTTTTGCAGCCAGTCGAGGATTGGTAGAAAAAGCTATAAAAGCTGAGGGGAAGAAAGAGGAGAGAGGAACAGGTTTTGTCATCAAAGAAAGGAACTGGGGGGGGGGAGTTTAATGGTAAACTTGAAGAACTGGTTTTTTGACATTTTAGCTTCTAGGGACAAGGCAAAGCCAGGACCCCACACCCCACGCATCACACAACTACAAGCAAACAAGTTTAGCAAAATCGTCATCTACAACTTCATATTTCACTTCATTGCCTATTTGGAAATAAGTTTTACGTGTACCTGCTGGTCAAGTTGCAAGCTTTTGAACTTACCCATGGTGGTTCCTTGTGAATGGCCAATATAAAATAGTTGTTTCTGTCCAGTTTTCTGCAGAACATAATCTATAGATGCCGGAAGGTCATATTTTGCCATCTGATCAAAGCTGGGGGGGGAAATATTATCCACATTAAGCTGGCTTCATGGGGATAACAAAGGACTTTCCAGACTCTTTGAATTCCAGAATGTTATGTCAGGACTATTATCTTCCCATTTGCACTGTGCTCAGTAACTGCAGATACTCTGAGGTTACTGAGAGAAGAGGGCCTAACATTATGATCTTTTCAGCACAATAGACGCTGATGTGATCAATGCATTCTCCAATGTGGGGCTGTCTGTAATGAGAGCTTTATAGCTGGGACAGGAATGCTGCACACTTTTGCTGTGCAACAATCAGGTTACCTGAATTCCCAGAACTCCACTGATCTGGGTGAAAGAAAGTGATGTCTTCTGGACCAGCTGTTCCCTCGGCTGTTTCCTAGCCAAACATCATAGCCAGCATCAGCTAGCATGAATGCCAGGCTGTTATGAGGAAGGTTTTGGAACCAGTTTGCAGCATCTACAAGCAAGCCATGCTGCAGAAATACTACTGGCCTTGGCCCTGAAAGAAAAGAAAAAAGAGGGACGCTGAACAATCTGGGGGATGCTTTGACTGGGCCCATTTTTATGACGCAGTAATTTTCCACAGGTGCAGCTTCAACTTGCACACACAGTATATCAGGGACAGGGAAATAATTTGGATAAATGTCTTCAGAACATGAGAAGATTCTTGTATGATTGGCATGTTCATTTGTTTAATAGCACATCCAAGGACAGATGATAAAGTGAGTTGAAATTTTACATTCCTCTTCCTAAAAGGACAGGATATTTAGCACATGCCACCCATCTACTGTTGAAACGCATCAATAGTCTCCTCATCTTCCATTTCCAACTGTGCAGGTGTATCTGTTTCATTAATTGGTCGTCCATCAAGTCTGAATCTAAACTGTCTCATTGACAAACCCTGCCTCTCACAATAGGCCTTCATTAGTTTACTTAGTGGTGTGTTGCATTTTGTTTTACTTTTAAATTGATATGGTCATTCTCCGTTTTTTACTCCTTCCTTGGGCTTCTCCTAGGACATGGTGTCATGTCAGGCAGGGACCTCTCAAGGAGCCAGTCCGTGCATGCTCGGAGCCCCCGGCTTCCTGCACTCTCCTCTCCCACCCCCTTTCTGGCCTCCTATCATTATCTTTGAACTTTGGCAAGCTCAAAGGCAATGATGTCGGAGGATTCCATAGGAAACAGAAGCAGAAATTGTTGATATTCACTTCTTAGTCCCATGTCCAGAGCAGAAATCAATCCAGCAAATACAATTGGCATTTGCTGTTGTTCTCAGTCCACAAATGATATGTAATTGATTACTACACACACACACACACACACACACACGACTTGCATTTCCTCTGCATTTAAATAAATGGTGTGGAATAATGTAACAATAAAATGATTACCTCTGTAATTATGTAAATTACATAATTTACATAATTATGTATGTAATTATGTATGTATGCCAGAGGACAGTGAAAGGAATAACTTAGTTTTGTCAGAAGCTGAACTGCAGAATGGAAACAGTGCTGAATGCAATGAATGCAGGTCATAATTGAAATTGATGATTTTTTACATCACCACTCAGTGGTAACTTTTGTCCTGTAATATATCACTTGCTGCTATATTAGATAATGGATCTATTGCTATATACATATCTGGAAAAGTCTGTATGTCTATTGTAACTACTGGCTGCAAATATTTTGACATGCTCTATCTGAGCTAACCTGTCCCCAGTAGCAGTGATGCCACTCTAATTTTTAACCCCACTTTCAGTGCCCCAGACATGCACAGAGAAGGGTCAGATGAGTGGGAGTGGGGAGCAGAGGAAAGTTGAGCAATTTTAAAATTCAGGAGGCAAACTAGATATTTATACACAGATTGAAGAGAGGGGGGAAATGATTCCCCCTTTAAAAGCATATTAATTCTTAAGCATTGTTAAGTCTTAATGGAAATCAAGCAAATAAGAATTTATAGTACAAACTCGCGCCTGGGTCCGGCCTGTCAGCTCTGCCATGTGGAATTCTGAAGATGGTAAGTATATAGCCATCGTCTGTCGTGACATCATGTTCTTCAGCAGGGTATTCCCAGTACTCGATGAGTGATTTCTACAGGGACACACACAATATTTAAAATCAGTTTGAGAAGCTTTAAAAGGCTCTGCTACAAGTAAGTATTGTAAGTATTCTGTCACAGCTCATAGGGTCTGGAGGAGGAGTAAAATCCAGACACAGCCATGTGAATGAGAGCACGCCTTGCTCATGCATTCCCTTTTTTTTCACTTCCTCTCACATCTTTGACAATGTTGTGGGAGGCAGGAAAGGAGCATACCATGTATGGGGAAGGGGGAAGAAAAGAATCTGCCTCACCCTCTTTGTACAGAACAATGGTAGTAATAATCTGGCCCTCACCCATCCCTCATAAAGTTTCTTTTTAGGGATGCTTCTCTTTTTCCAATGATAATAATCATTGTGGCCCCTAGAAGCTTTCCAACTCGTGTGTCCCCTGGAGTAGATCTGAGCTCAGTCAGCGTGGAATGATGTTTGGCAGAGAACAGGTCACACATTTTGTGGGCTGAACCCATTTAACTGATCCCCTAATGGGCTTCTCTCATTCTGTGTCTTGAGGAACATTCCCTGCTTTACATTACTTACCGCATTTAAAGTGGCTTCATAATCAACCGATCTATCCCCAATAAGTCCATGAGCTAATGCAGAGCCATAAACCAAGCAGATGAGAATGGAAGCCCACGACATCGTCTGTTTGCCTGTTGGGAATGGATCTTAATTAGCACACCCAAATTTGATGAGTTTGAGCTAACTTCACATGCGTCAATGTTATGCGTACTCAAGGCTTCTAAAACGATCAGCTTGGCGTCTTTCATCGGGTCATTGCACTTCAGGTAAGTCGACAGTGTTTTCAAAGAAAGAAGTGAATTAACTGCTCTTAGGAGCACCGTCCTGGGACGCAGGTGGCTCTGTGGGTTAAACCACAGAGCCTAGGACTTGCCGATCAGAAGGTCGGCGGTTCAAATCCCTGCGATGGGGTGAGCTCCTGTTGCTCGGTCCCTGCTCCTGCCAACCTAGCAGTTCGAAAGCACGTCAAAGTGCAAGTAGATAAATAGGTACCGCTCCGGCGGGAAGATAAACGGTGTTTCCGTGCACTGCTCTGGTTCGCCAGAAGCGGCTTCGTCATGCTGGCCACATGACCCAGAAGCTGTACGCTGGCTGCCTCGGCCAATAAAGCGAGATGAGCACCGCAACCCCAGAGTCGGTCACGACTGGACCTAATGGTCAGGGGTCCCTTTACCTTTACCTTTTAGGAGCACCGTCCTAGACAGAAATCAACACTCAGCAGATAAGAAGTATTGCAATGTTGGCCACTTATTAAAGTTTGCAAGAACAAAGAAATTAACAGTACCTCCAATTTGGTCCCCTTCTGCAATAACAAAAATAAACAAAGCACTTCCTGTCAAATAACATGTTACATTAGCTGCGTATCTATGCCTTTAGGTTTCTACCCTTCCCCCTACACAGCAGCAAACCAGATCAGCAATAGGGAAAAATAAGTTCTCATCGAAGTGAAAATTAGAGGGGGTTTTCCTCAATGCAGATTGTAGGCACTGAGGGGTCAGTTGGGTGGTCTGAACCAGGACTGCAGCAGGTGAGTTAAAGTCACCCTAACACCATGCTAGGGTCCCTATCTGCATCAGGGTCCCTATGCTTACAATCTGTGTAAAACAAACAAACCAGCCCTGCATTTAAAGGCACAGATATGGAGCTAAACGTACCATATTGTTTGGCCCTTGTATGAAACATGGCTACCGCTGCAACTCAAGTTTTCTCCATCCATATACATTTTCCACATTATATATCATAGGTCTCTCTTCTGAAGTAGGCAGCGACCATTGGTTTTCTGTCAATCTGCCCCCCTCTGTGTAGAGAGAGGACATCTTCTACACCTATATCAGCAGAATCCATGTGCTGTACACATTGTGTGTGAACGATAAATCTAGTATTAAAAACATCTTCGATCTAACCGTATACACACTTATACACACCCAGGACAGTTCCGAGAAGCTTACCTCTGAAGATCCGATGCTTCGAAATGATTCAACTGCAAAAACAGCAGCACCTGCAAAAGTCAGAAAATGCTAGTAAACCTAATGAAGGGCAGAGCTAAAACATTTAAGATGGCAAAAGGGAGCCACAGTTCTCTCACTACATACCGTTTAGAATAAACTGTGTCTCTTGTTGACCGAGCCTTTCTAATATATAAACTGTGGAGTTCAGGGGCTAGGGAGGGGAGAAGAATGCAGGGGTGACGTAAATAACTGTGACACTGTCTTGGCTATCAAAAGACAACAAGCCACTTGAGATAAGATCTTCTTACAGTTTAAGCAACCACTTGGGTCGGTTCTGCTTACATCCCCCTTTCCTCCTCCCAAAAAATATTTAAGTACACTTTTAAAAAATGATACATCTAACATCTTTACAGGGTCCCAGTTAACCTTCATGAAAAGGTTAGCTCATAAATCAGAGCAGTTGCGTGCTTTCCTAAGCTATTGTGAAACAGCTACGCAAATTACGTTTGGACAGCCAATTAATTGTTGGCTTCCAGAGGCTATTTTGAAAGTTTTTGTCAAACAAGGTTAATGTTAATCTCAAAGTTAATTTTAGGATTAACATTAATCTTAAAGCTAATCTTAAAAAAGCAGGGTTTGTATAAATAAGAGAATGAAGAATTCAGTAAATCATGCTGTTTCAAAATCACAGCCTTGTGGTGATCCTTCAGTGGAATGGGGAAACTGCGAGGGTTTCCCCCTGTTCTTACCTGTGGACAACTGGTGGGATAAGGATGTGTCAGTAAGGTCAGACGTCTGCCCAGGCTGACAGCCCAGGCACTAGCATTCAGTGCACTGCCAGGTTGCACCCCTACAACTGACTGCCATGCCAGACATAGCATTGGACTATTACCTTTGCACCATGTACAAAGCACTTTTTTAAAAACGGGGAAAAAGAAGCAAAGGTTCAGCCAGAGCAGTAAACAGCTGCTGGTGGTGGTGGTGCTAAGCAAACTCAGCTAAGTCAGTTAAAAAAAAACAAAACCCTGCTGCAATGCCCCCACCTACCAAACGTCAAAATGAGGGTAGCCTTCACATCGGCAAGATTAAATGTCCTTCCACGAGCAGATTGGATGGGCTGAAACAAAGGAATTCCTAAGAAGGACAGAGCTTGTGGTTTAGTCAATAGAAGATATAATTCATGAATGCCCTTTTTATAATGATCTTAGAAACAATTGCAGGTATATTTACCCATTGTTAAGATCACAGAAGGGGAGCTGATCCCAAGCAAAGAGCTGTTTTCTGCTGTCTGATGTAGTATATACTTCAGAATATCTAAGTTTCCTGCTTCAAAAAAATCTGTGCTATTAAATTTCAAATTTCCTGCTTCAAAAAAATCTGTGCTATTAAATTTAAAAATTAAGAAGCAGAAATGTAAATCTTAATAATAATAATAATAATAATAATAATAATAATAATACTTTTGTTATTGTTTTCATGTGTAGAACGGCTGTCTGCTAACACACAATAAACTGACTTGACTTGGCCCAGTCTTTCTGTGTGGCCTTCTTGCTCTTCTGCCGTCTATTCATCACTACACCATTTCAGGTCATAGACTCCAGGGGTTGGGGCTGGTGAGGTCCAGCGGGCAGCAACACAGAGGAGCAGCAACCGTAGTGCCAAGGATTAAGTCATCCCAAGCCCCAGCCTGGTCGAGTCAACCCAGCCCAACCAGGCTGTGCGTCTGCAGGTACTGAGATTCTTGTCTGGACCTGTGAAAACATGGAACCTCTGCTGGCTGCCTTTAAGATATGTTGTTGGTATCCGTCTGTCTCAGGCGACAATGGAGGGAGTGCCTCTGGTGGTGAAGACAAACTGTTGGACGGTTGCAGCGCCCGCTGCTGCTGTAGAGATGGACATATGGGAAAGACATGTTTTGTTGCAGCTGGGGCAAATGAAGGCACCTGGTTGTGGTGCTTTGGATGCCCTATGGCATTTATTTGCGCTCCCCCAGTAGTTGATCCACTTCTGGTCACTGCCATGTATACACGACCTGACTGTCTCCAGGCACTGCGGTTGTCTGCATGGGGTTCTTACATGGTGGGGCTGATGTTGCCGGCCTTCATGTCACGCTTGCAGACATCTTTGCAACACACGGTTGGTCTGCCCAACGGGCCTTGAAAAATAAAACTGCTAGTATCACAATGCTTTTATATACGATACAATACTATAAACCTTATTGTTATTGTCCCATACAGAACAACGAAATTGAAAAAATCTACACCAGACATTCAAAAACCAACAAGCCTGCTATCCCAGCTATCCCAGCCTGGTTAACCCCCTAAAAACTCTGATACACCATAATTAAATACAATAAACTCCCACAGAGACTACCTTACACTGCGTTTAAAACCAAAATCGCATTTGGATAAAACCTGTTTCTCAGGCGGCTAGTCCTAGTCTTTATAACCCTGTACCTTCTTCCAGAAGGCAGAAGCTGAAAGAGATAATTTCCGGGATGCGCACTATTCTGCACTATCTCTACAGCTTTCTTATGATACCTGGCAGCATAGATTTGATCCAAGGCGGTAATGGGGAACCCAATTATTCTCTCCGCAGTCTTTACAACCCTGGACAACATTGTTTTTCCCCTGACTGTGCAACTCCCAAGCCACACATGCATATACATTTAATACTTGGGTCAGAACCAAGGACCAGGTTCAGTTCTTCTTTTATATCATGCTTGATATTTTAGGCCACTGTGTCTACAAAAAAATATTTAAGTGCCCTGGCTTCCTCAGTGCAAGTCTGGGTTTCATATTCTACACTTCCCTAGTTGTCTGGACTATTCCCCAGAATACACAAGCGGTGTTTCTATTCCCCGATTCTGCAAACCGGGAATTTGTTGCATGTGATTAAAGAGACAGTATAAGAAAAGTGTGTGCAAGTGTCACAGTGCCTAACTTCTACAATCAATACGCTTCTAAAACCATCAATACGCTTCTGCAATCAATACGCTTCTGAGAGATCTCTAAAGAATAGAAAACACAACAGAGAGAGCGAGAGAGAATAAATATACAGTGGTACCTCTGGTTACATACTTAATTTGTTCCGGAGGTCCGTTCTTAACCTGAAACTGTTCTTAACCTGAAGCACCACTTTAGCTAATGGGGTCTCCTGCTGCCGCTGCACCGCCGCTGCACAATTTCTATTCTCATCCTGAAGCAAAGTTCTTAACCCGAGGTAATATTTCTAGGTTAGCGGAGTTTGTAACCTGAAGCATATGTAACCCGAGGTACCACTGTATGTTACTTGGCACATTCTTCTGTACGGAGATGTAGCTAAACTGCATTAACTTATTTGCTGCTGCAACTGTGAAGAACAATTCCAAAGGATACGCCTGCCCTCTTCTGGCCGTACACAGTATCAGTTCACACAGCGACCAATATTTCTCATTCACTATAGATACATACAAATTTCACAAACCAATGCATAGTTCTAATAATAAAAAAAGGAATTGGATACATATCCCAAGTTAAGCACTTTCTAGTCCTGCTGAATTCAGTGTTAAGCACAATCTAAACTCTTCAACTAGGGATGGGCAATGTCTCAATTTCAATTTCTCCGTTTCTAATTTTTATCATCTTAAATTCAGTTCCCTATGTTAGCATACCATTTTGCAAGGTGGGGCAGAGAGAATTAAAGTCCTCACAGATGTTCATCAGCATTTTGGTATGCACCTCTCCTAATATACCCATTTTTCTATGCACTTTCCCCAAATATACCGTATTTTTTGCCCTATAGGACGCACTTTTTCCCCTCCAAAAATGAAGGGGAAATCTGGGTGCGTCCTATGGAGCGGATGCAGGCTTTCGCTGAAGCTTGGAGAGCGAGAGGGGTCGGTGCGCACCGACCCCTCTTGCTCTCCAGGCTTCAGGAAGACATCCGCAGCCTAGGCAGCCCTGCGGGAGTTCCCGCAGGGCTGTCTAGGCTGCGGATAGCAGCCTGCTTCCTGGAGCGCCAGGCGCGCTGAAAGCAGAGCGCCCGGCCCTTCGGGAACACATCCGCAGCCTGCCGCCCGGCGCGAAGGGCTCCCTGAAGCAGAGCACCCCGCACGCCAGGCAGACATCCGCAGCGTGGGGAGCCCTGCAGGCAGTGGCGTAGCATGGGGGTGCAGGGGGGGCCGGCCGCACCGGGCGCAACATCTGGGGGGGCACTCGCCGCCTCCGCAGTCGCCGAAGAGCCTCGGGCGCAGGCTGTAGCAGAGCCCCATGTCTCGCGGAACCGATGAGCTGGCAGCAGCTCTCAGCGCTCGCTGCGGTCCCCGCGCGTCAGAGCCGCAGAGGGTGTGCCAGGCAGCCCCGCCGCTGCAGCTGCAGCAGCTGGGCCATGTTGCATTTTCCTCGCCTCTCTGCCCTCCTCCTCCTCCGGGCAAGCGGCGTCGTTTGGGCAGCAGCGCCAGCGGCAATTCGCCTCAGATCACCTGACACGGACCCGCCGCCGCCACCGTGGCTACCTTACTGTAAATACCCCAGCCCAGGCAGCAGCAAGAAGCAGCTGGCAGCGGCGGCAGGTTAGGGGTTAGGGGGCGCAAATTACTTGCCTTGCCCCGGGTGCTGACAACCCACGCTACGCCGCTGCCTGCAGGAGTTCCCCGCAGGGCTCCCCACGGTGCGGATAGCAGCCTGCCGCCCGGCACGCAGGGCACCGCACGCCGGGCAGACATCAGCCAGCCCCACAAGCTCGGGGGACAGCAGGGAGGCGCAGTACCGCCATCCCGCTGTTCCTCGACCTGGTTCGGTTTCCCCGACCTGGTTTTGGGGGGGAAATAAAGGGGAAAAAATCATTTATTTCCCCCCCAAAAAACTAGGTGCATCCTATGGGACAGAGCGTCCTATGAGACGAAAAATACGGTAGATACAAATAGCCTCCCAGAGTGGGTGGGACAACCCAGTCAGATGGGTGGGGTACCTCATCATCATCATCATCATCACTGCTGCTGCTTCAAAGTGGTTTGCCCTAATATAATGCATTTTGTATGTTATTCTTACTAATATAGGCATATGTGCATATTTTACCCTGGTGTGCATTTTTATACATATGGTTTGGCTAGAGAACTGCACAGCAAAGCTCAGAGAAGTTTAAATTTCCCAGGATGGCTGCATCTTGTTTGCACATTGTTTTGGAAAGTGAAAATAGGGCAGGTTCATCCTTAAATGTGAACTGCATCGTGCTTCCCTCCCATCCCCGAGCCCAATCAAAGAGCGCCAGCTTGTTCCATAAACACTCAGCTGTTTCTAAGGAAGTACGTTTTGGATTTCCAGTGCACATCCAGCATGCATATCTACACATTTTTGAAAAGGAAACGGGGTTGACACTTATTTCTGCACAAACACAAGCAAGTACCTAATAAAGTGCCTTCAACAGCCTTTGAAAGTTGCAGCTGCTCCATGCCACAGTTTCAAACTCGCTACAGTATTTACTTATTTGTTTTCTAAGAAATATTTATATACCACTAATTTGTTTGTTTTTTTAAATTGGAACAGTTTACAACAATTGTAGTTTAAAAAATACAGTGAAAATTATTTGCTTAAAAACAGAAACCAGGTAACTGTTATTTGATACAAGTTACTTTGGTGCACATAATACTGATATCTAAACAGATTCTTTAGGAACTTTCAAATGGTTTCTGAAGTACAGTGGTACCTCAGGTTACATATGCTTCAGGTTACATACGCTTCAGGTTACAGACTCCGCTAACCTAGAAATATTACCTCGGGCTATGTACTTTGCTTCAGGATGAGAACAGAAATCGTGCTCCGGCGGTGCGGCAGCAGCAGGAGGCCCCATTAGCTAAAGTGGTGCTTCAGGTTAAGAACAGTTTCAGGTTAAGTACGGACCTCTGGAACGAATTAAGTACTTAACCTGAGGTACCACTGTATAGGCCTATAGGCCTCCAAATACCTGTGTTTAGGAGTCACAAGTGGAAACTCAGTCACTCAGTCCCTCCTCCTTTTTATTATAAACCATCACTGAACTTTAAAAAATAAATAAATTACAAAGCACAAAGTGTTGCCTTCCAGGACATATGCACATACAGATGTAAAGTCTTGTATGCAGTCATCCACAGAGCATTAAAACGGACTTGGAAAATATTTTACATTACACATTAAGCCCACATCTTGAGGGTTTCCCATAGGCTGCCATAGGTTGGCTGCCAGGATCCTGGATGAGATGGCCCTTTGGTCTGATCCTGCAATGTCTTCTTACATCAGGAATAGGGAACCTGTGGCCCTCCAGATGTTGCTAGACTGCAAATCTCATAATCTCTGACCACGGCCCTTGCTGGCTGGAGCTGATGCTAGTATGGAGTCCTACCCTGTGTGATATTGTGGTGTGCTTAAAAACCCCCGAATCAGACAAATCGGGTGTCACAAGGCCAGAGTAAAGAGTGAGTTTCATCTTCACCCCAGGCTGTTCTCAATTTCAGGCACATCAAAATCTCGCTTTGCATGCCTTTTCCTTTGCAAATGCTGTCACTTTCAGGTCAAAGTGTTGGTGCTTCGACATGTTCAATTGATATAGCTACCAAGCCAACTAAGTTTCTTTTGCAACCTCGTTGCAACATAGTTGAGCATTTGTAAATTTTTATAAGTTTGAACTTTTGAGAAAAGCTTGTGATACAACCTGCTGTGGTCCATGTTTTATAAGCCTCTGCAAATTATCACTGCAGCTGTTAGGCCAGTTAGCAGGGTCACTGTAATTCAGATAAAGCATAAAAAATACCACCTTCTTTTGCAGACTTTACAGTCCTCTCACATTTCTTGACATCCTTTTTTTCCTTTGTGTTTTCCAGAAATATCTCCAATTTGTGAAACTTCCGGCTTAGAGTTTATAAATGCAATCAATCAATCAATTTCAGCTCCTTCAGTGCTAGTTTCAACAAGAGTATAGTCATATTCTTGTTCTTTCATTTCTTTCTGTGCACAAAGGTATTTCGGGGGAAACCCTCTTGCTTTGCCAGTGTGGTGTAGTGGTTAAGAGCGGTAGTCTCATAATCTGGTGAACCGGGTTCGCGTCTCCGCTCCTCCACATGCAGCTGCTGGGTGACCTTGGGCCAGTCACACTTCTTGAAGTCTCTCAGCACCACTCACCTCACAGAGTGCTTGTTGTGGGGGAGGACGGGAAAGGAGAATGTTAGCCATTTTGAGACTCCTTAGGGTAGTGATAAAGCAGGATATCAAATCCAAACTCCTCCTCCTCCTCCTCCTCTTCTTCTTGCTTGCTCCTTAGCTTTTTCTTAGCCTTTCATTTGCAGCACTGAGCTCCAGACGGTAGCTTTTCATCACCCATAGCTCACTAGAAAAATGCATACATTTTAAAATAAAGATACGACTGTAATATATTTAAAAATAAGTAATTTTTCACATGAAACATAAATTCCAATAAACTTTATGTTCTATGTCATATACAGTAAATGAGTAAGCCCACGAATCACATGGGGGTTAGGTTCCGGGGATCGCACCTAAAGCCAAAATCAGGTATAACCAAACACACTAGTTGCAATGGTGGGCAGGTTTGCCAAAGTTTTTTTAGCCAGATGCCTGTCCTCTCCCCATCCCCCTTTTTATTTTTATGAACTTTTATTTTGCCAAGCACATAAAGCTGAATATGCACAAGTTAAATGCATGCAAGTTGAGTGTGTGTACCATATACCAAAAAATCCCAACAATTCTAATGTATGAATTACTTCAAAAATGATAAAATTATCCAAAATATAAAAATAAAAGGAAAATATTTTCAAAAATTTATCAGATATAACAAAAACTAATCTGTATAAAGCTGTGCCTCTCTGAGGTCTCTACCCTAGGCAACTGTCTAGCTGACCTAATTATAGCACTGGCCCTGTCTTCAACCTATGACGAAAACTAGGCTGTACGCACACTGAAACGTACTCCAGATCCACGGCACTCCCTCCACTGGTATTTCAAGGAAAGTACACCTAACACTGGCCACAATCCATATGTATTCTATTACTTTCTTGAGAAATGCTACTGTTTCGACGCACTTTCCCTCAAACCAGCTTCCACCCAATTTGAAAATGTAAACTGTGGCTGAGCTGACATGTGTACATTTGAGACACTGCTGCAAACTATGGTTTGCTCATCTCAAAGCAAGAAACATGCTTAATGCTGAGCTGTGAACTTTCCTTGGGACGTTTTAATGTATGTTATACTGAGTATTGTGAAATATTCTTAATATTGAGATGTGTCAATATTGCATATGAAGATGTTTCTGTAATTTATATGTATATTCATTTTTTAAAAATCGCATGCATCTTTCATTATATTTCTTCGTTTCCTTTCCAGTCCGGACAAGGCTTCCCAGGACCCCCTCCCATGAGGCAAGGGGAGGCAAGGTGACCTCAGGCGGCAGGATGCACAGCGGCGGCAGATCCTAATATATATTTTCATTCCCCTGCTTGTTCCTGATTTAGATCTTCACTCCCCGCCTTCTTCCCCTGTGGGGAGTGGGGCACTCTTTTGTGGTTTACCCCAGGTGCCAAAATGTCTTGGGCAGGCCCTGCGCCGGTAATTAAGTATGTAATTTGGTTCTGGTGCGCAATCCAACTGAACAGGGAGCGGGGTGTGTTTTTGCACAAAACAGGGTTCCTATGCACGCTTCCTAACTTGGAGAAATTAAGGTCCTTTTCCTGCCTCCTCCAACGAGAAGCCCGGCTCTGAGGAACCTCCGCGCTCGCAGTGGCACCAGGACCGGGGAACAATCTACCAAGCAGCGGCCGCCTTCGCGAGGAAGCGGCGCGAACTCACTCTGCCGGCGGCCCGCTGCGAGTCGGCTCCGCCTCCCGGTTGCACAAGCAACCCAGGAAGAGGGGGAGAATTCCGCCCCCATCCGCCGGCCGGTCCTGCCATGGCGCGGGTTCTGATCGTGGGCGCGGGGCTGACGGGCAGCCTGTGCGCTGCGCTTTTGCGCAGGGAGCTGCCGCAGCGCCTGCTGCGCATCGTGCTGTGGGACAAGGCGCGCGGCGCAGGTGGGTCTCTCTCGTCTTCGGCAGTAGTAGATCCTGTCGGGTAAAAGAATTAAAAAAAATAGAAAATAAACCGGGCAGGCAGGCTGCGGGATCTGGGAAGGCTGGTAGGAGAGGTGCCCGGAATAAACGCGCCCAAGTTCCGCTTCTCCACATGAGCACGCTGCAAAATGTCCGCCGTAATCCTTTGCACGTTTACTCAGAGGCAAGTCCCACCGTGTTCCTTGGGACTTGCAGGTAATTTTGCACAGGGTCTGTGGCCGTCCTGCAGCGCAGTCCTAAACTAAAAAATAAAAAGTTGAGCGAGTCCCGGCGCTAAATGCGTTAAGCATAGCACACACGGCTTCAGAAGACGTCCTCCCATACAGGGCTTATTTCCGAGGCAGCGTTCATTATACTCAAGCTTGGATAAAGGTAGATCGGGATCTACTAATAGATCTGCGGCTGATTTGCCAGGGGAGCGTCAAGGATTTCTGACTCACCGTTTTAATAAAATGACGCACGCGCTTTCCAAATTAGACCGCAGAAAACTCGAGTTAACCGGTCTCGATTTTTGTGTGGAAGAGCTGTTGTTGTGTTTTAACACTCTACATCGCTTAGGTATATTTATAGGTTTGTAGAGTCTGTCAGTCAGTCAGTCAATCAATCAACGAATGCGTGTCCTTTGCACCTAGCTACAGCTAGTGGATTTTGGGTGGAGGGAAAACACAAGAGCCCTGAAGTCTGTTCTCCCCCGATATACACGATGAAAAATCCCATTCCCGACGAATCTGGGGTTGTTGGGTTTTCATAACTTGGAACCGGATTCCTAAGTAGACAGCTTTAGGCAGCAATCCTTTAGATGCACTTATCTGGGATTGAGCTCTTAATTAAGCGCTAGGCAACAAACCATCGCCCCCTGCTCGGAATGACTTGACCATACCCTTACCGCTTCCCAGTTACTAGGCGCCACTGGCTTATTTTGCCCCACGGAGGAAGCTGATTGGATACGCGCGGCTGTGCTTTAAAAAACTTCTTGTCTCCACGCACGTGATTTTTAAGGGGGAAGAATGGCTACAAGCCGCAGCACTCAGGATCCGAAATGCACGGCAGATCTAGGAGCCCAGTACGTCACTCGGATGCCCGAATATGCCAAAAAGCATCAAGGGTGAGCGGGGGAAATGAATGACAACGGGCTGGGTTTTTCTTTTGGGGGGGTGGGGGGTTCATATGTCAAGGGTGAGACCTGCCAATACTGTTACAGCAACCCGTGGTTATTGATTACAATGCAATCTACCGCTGAGCACCAATGAATGAAAGATTAAAGGGAATTTGGTAAAGTGACTTTTAAGAAGGAAAGTGACCCTGCTAATGAAAGTACCTTAATTTTGCTAATTAGCTCTTACTGAAACTCTTGAGTTGGAATCTCGGTTGGCATTTTCTCTGTTCATGCTCAGCTTTTTCCTGTTTCACTTTTTGTTTTGTTTTTTTAAAAAATAAGAGGTTGCTTTAATTTTGTACACACTTGTAAGCTACAGTTGTTTCATCATTTGTGAAGCATTGGTGTCTGTACGACTGTGTTGAAGCATCCTAAGTGGCTCATGTAGGTCTTTTGTCACAAATCTTGCACATTCTTAGTATATGAAAGAGCAATTGCAAATCTTTGTTAACATAAGGATACTGTGAAAGTTGAGATTTTTTTCCCATCAAGTTTAGTCTTCTGTTTCAGAGAGCTGGTAGTGTAAGGTTGCCAAGTTCTCAACCAGCTAATGCACCTATGCCTTTAGTGTGAGTAGCAGACAGTTTTAGCTAGCAGCCCTACCTATCTCCATTCTGTGAAAAGCTTCACCTGTTAATTTATTGACATCAAAGTCCTGTGAAAGGTTTAAGAGTTTGGCTGCCTATTTTTGCCTGATCAGTTGGCATGTCTGCATTGATCCAGTGCCTATGGAAGCTCACAAGTAGTATTTGTTGGAAGAGGACTGTTCTCCTTACGACTGACTACAGGCTTGAAGCCGTCCTCGGCAAATTGTCCTCCATGCATCCGGTAGGCTTACCTCGTGATGCTGCTCTGCCAATCGGTGCCTGTTGGCGACCATTTTACTGGCCTCGAACAATGCTATATCAAGTGCTTCAAGGTATTGTGGGAAACTTAAAATGGTGGCTCAAAGCAACCCGGCACATGGCAAGGGAGGCCCTAAACAGGTATTTCCCTTTACATACAGCACAACCCTGATCGAAATCACTTGCTTTTTAAAAAGAAAGTGCCATTTGTAGCTTTGAACACGGATCTCTGATGTAATTGACAGGTTTGAGCCCTATTTGTTCTGTTTCTCTGTACGTAGTGGGTAGTAGCTGCTGCCAGACATGTAACCAGGGCTAGCCACTACTACATCTCACACTAGTGAACTCTTCACGTTCACAAAACCATACTATTAAAAAACACACATTCAAAATCATAGATCAGCTAACTGTTACAGAAATATGCCTTCTTAGTTGCCTGCATAAACCTGACAGAATACGGAAGTTTTCAGCATGTTTTTTGAAGTTGAAAGAGAAGGCACCTGCTGTATCTCTGTTGGCAGAGTCATTACACAGGACTATTTTGTGGAAACATAGCAAAGTTTTTATGGCCTGAGGCATGCATCATTTCCTTTTCATGTTCTCCCATGTCACATTGTTTATCCTTGTGTTTTCCTTCGGACACGACAGTGTGGTAAGAATGTGGGTAGCTTCAACAAGAATTTGAGTAGCTTCCATTCTTGGTAAGCTTGATAGGTGTGATGATGAGCAACTGTATAGTCATCTTTCACTAGGACGAGAGAGGAGTTGGGCACATTGACACCTGCTTCCAGCTTGTAGATTGCTGCTTTATCTTGAGAGGCGGGGTAGGAGGGCTTGCTTCTCCCAACCAGAACATAAGGCAAGGGTGGGGAAATGTGG